GCCTCACACCTGTAATCCCAATACTTTGGGAGGCCTAGGCAGTTAAGACTGCTTGAGCTCTGGAGTTCAAGACCAGCCTAGCCAATACAGTGAAACCCTGTCTCTACAAAAAAAACATTAAAAAAAAAGAAGAAGAAAAGAAATTAGGTCTAGAGGAAGCAAACTATTATTTTGTAGCATCTCTGCTTTCAAAATTTTGGAACATGATTCTAAACTCAAAATACTTCTCATTTTTTTTTTTTAAGAGTAATTCCTATTATTTGATCTCAACACCCCTGAAGTAAGTACACATCATTCCCCATTTTAATGCAGAAAAAGAGATAGGGGGCAGTGAAACGGCCTGTCACAATTACATAGCTAGTTTATGGTAGAGCTGAATCTAATACCCAGATCTTTTAGATACACACTTTTTCATCACTCACATTGGTTCACACTTCTCCATTTCCTGAAACTATTTCTTTGTAGCTCCATTTCAAACAGTATGAAATGTCAAATCTATCTCCTGGCAATCTCATAAATTTCACTGTATGATGTGCCAAGTTGAGTGTTTTGGCCTTGGCAGCAGATGCCCTGATTATGTCCACTAATGCAAACAGCTCACCAGTCTGTCACTCTTCCTGATTCAGCTCCTTTAGACTGTTGGCTATCATTCTCTTTCATATGGCTTACTTTCGCTAGGTAAGAACTTTTGCAAGATTTAAGCTGCTTGATTGACCAAACAATATTGTAAACCTACCTTTGATTTCAACAGACTTGATAATCAGTCTTGCAACTTTCAGATTCCCAAAAGGCAAATGTATATACTTTTTAAGAAAGGCTATGCAAATAGTTTTCATGTTTAAATTTAAAATTTTACTTAATTCATAGAAGATAGCCCTTGAAAAGTCATACTTGTTTATAGTTTGGATGGTCTTCAAAATTTATTATATAGTCTTGCGTAAAAGTAAAATATTCATGTTACTCTATGGTAATTGAAATACAATTAACTCACATACTCTTAATGTTCTATTCACTGTTTTGTATTGTTTTGTTCTTATACTGGAGGGAAAATTCAGATCAATCACAGCACCCACCACTTAAGAGTAGTAATGGCTTCAGATATTCTGGAACTTCTGCGTTCCATCAAACTAGGAAGCACACATTCCTCTAAGTTTAAACATTTTTTTTTGGTTATTGTTGTTCCTCAACAGAATCATTTTATTCCTGGCTTTAATTAGCTTTACATTGGTTGAAAACATTTCTGGTATTGGGTCATATGGAAAAACCAGTTTAAAGCAGTGAAGACACTTTGGGCCACTTTTTTTTTTTTTTTTTGAGATGGAGTCTCGCTCAGTCGCCCAGGCTGGAGTGCAGCGGCACAATCTCAGCTCACTGCAAGCTCCCCCTCTCAGGTTCACACCATTCTCCCGCCTCAGCCTACCGAATAGCTGAGACCACAGCCTACCGAATAGCTGAGCCCACCACCACGCCCAGCTAATTTACATTTTTAGTAGAGACAGGGTGACGGGGTTTCACCATGTTAGCCAGGATGGTCTCTATGGTCTCTATCTCCTGACCCCGTGATCCGTCAACCTCGTGATCTGCCCGCCTCGGTCTCCCAAAGTGCTGGGATTACAGAAGTAAGCCACCACCCCCGGCCCACTTTGGGTAGTTCTATATAAACAGAAAAATAACCATGACTCTTAAAACGTAATGGCTCAACACCATAGGAAAGGTTTTAAAAAAAAGTAATGGAAAACCATGTAGACTGGAATTGAAATAGTGCTCTGCAAGTTGTAGATAATAAATGTTGCAAGTGACATTTTATTCGTGCATTACCCAAGAAGTTAGAGAGGGGGAAAAAGTAAAAGCTAGTAGCAGCAGCTGCAATTACAATCAGACTTTGGAAATCAATGCTGTTTAAACTGGGTCTTCTAATAGGATTACTCCTAGTCACTCATGCTCATGTGGGTTTTGAAGCACAGGGTGCCCCAAAGGCACTCTCTTCTGAACAGTTAGGCTGCTATGGAGTTTTACACATCTGTTACCATGTTTAATGAATTTTCAGTTGTGAATGAATTTGGAAAGTTAAAGCTTTTCAGAAAGTTTTTAAAAAATGCACAGGTTTCCAAATGTGCAGATAGAAGTGACACGATTTTTGAAATTATTATTGGTCTTAACTTTTCCTCCATTTTTCCCCTTAGCTCAGTGATTAACTTCCATTCAGGAAGCCTCTCCCAACTTCTAACTCAAGTTAGGATAGATACCCTTTGGAGATGCTTCCTTGGCATACGTTCCTCTTCTGTTACAACGTAAAAGGGGATCCCTTTACTCTTCTCTGTATTGAGAATGCCTAGCACAGAGCTCAAATGGATTCTGAAATGAAAAAATGCCTGATTCTCTTCATGAAGCTTCTGAAAAACATGTTGTGGGGTCCCTCTTTTGAAGGTCACCAAATGAGAAGTGGAGACAATCTCTATATCCATCTTACCATTTGTGGAAGACAGAGGCAAGTTTCCATTATCTACCTCAAAGATGTCAGAAAAAATTGAAAAATCTTTTCACATTTATCAAAATCTAAATCAGGTAGTACTGAAAAAGTAGTGAGGAAGGTTATGCGAATGATGGTGGAAGATGGGAATGAGGACAGGATGGAACAGCATGTCTTGAGGTAGCTGTTCACTGCCCCTCTCCCCAACAGTGAAACATGCAACTGAGGAACACCTGTAGAAAGGGGGCATTCTGGTGGCATATGGAATAAACTCCTCTACCCCCAAAAAAGACGAAAGAAAGAAAAAGCTCTTTTTCAGTTTGACTCTACCACCTATATTAAGAAGCATCATAGCTTGGAAAGATACAGTCCTAATTTTAAACAAAAAAGAAACAATATCAGAAATGTTCATCAGAAGCTTGCCTTTTCTTGACCAGCTCTTGTTCAAAATGTTCTGTATAATTACTGTTAATATGCACTGAAGGGCAATGACACACCTGCAGGCATAATCCTGAAACCTGAAAGGTCACTAAAATTGTATTTCCCCATTCTTCCCTCACATTAATGTTAACATACAGACATGAAAGCAGACTTGAGGAAATTAGGACTTATCTGTGAACACATGACAGCTTTAACCAAGAATATTGGCCCTGCTTTGTATTCTAGCCACATGTTCCTACCTTTTCAACAACCTTGAAAAATAAATATTTGAACTACAATCTTCAATAAAGTCCCTCTACATTTGTTGTCAGTCTTAATCACTTTTTTCTTGTCTGCTTAGTGCCTTTAGCTCTTAGATGTTGCACCTGGAGATTCTTGCTTACTTTATGATGTAGGTTTATACACCCTTTAATTGAAAGCAAACCGCCTTAGATAATCGAGTGAAAAACAATGTTACAAGGTCCACTTTCCGTTAAAAGGCAAATAGAAATATTAGGCTGTTCTCTAAAATGAACAAAAACACATAAAAATACATCACAATCTACCACTCCATTTCCTTTATCAGAGATAAAATCCCACAGCCTAAAAAGGCCTCTTTTGTTAGCATGTTTTGTCCCCCAGCAGGGGTGGCAGATACAAGGGACTGCAGTTCTCAATGCCTAGTCTTTTCTCTGTCCAAAAAAAAGACTTTAGTCACACAGTATGTTAAATATTTTTATACTCATGTTTCTGCAATAACCATAACAACTTTAACCCAAATTTGCTTAATACTTTAATTATCATGTACTGAAAGCACTTCATTTAAAAAAAAAAAAAAAAAAGTAAAACTGATAACGGAAGGATGACAAGAACATGTACCTCACCCTTAAGCAGTGTGTGTGATTTTTTTTTTTAATGTGAAGGTTAAAGTGAGTTTATAAACTGACAGGAAGAAAAGATGATACGAGAATTTATCTTTAAGGCAGTATCATTTGTATAAGATACCTTTAAATAGCAATATGACAATGGATCAAAGAGGAAACAGGGCCTATTCCTACATGACTGTGCAGAACATGTGAATGGCCATCCCTAGAGTTCTCAGTGTACAGCCTCCATGGATGGACCCTGTGACTGCATGCACTGAGTGGAGTTCTACATACACCAATGCAAAAAACTCATTAAAAAAAAAAAGAGACAGATAAAACAGTTACTGTTGATGGAACTGTTAATGCAACAAAAGTTCAAGCTTAGCACTGTCTCCTAAAAACTACTGAGACATTTCAGTTAACATTAAAAACTGTTACACTATGGAGGCACACACTGGAAATATTTTACTAAGCACCTAACAACTGTTTTCAAAAAATCAGAGCAGGAAAAGCTTTCAAAGTTATATAAAGTTAAATGCATACAGTGAGTAGATAGATATCTATTCCTCCAGGATTACTATTTTCCACCCACATTTTTTTGGTTTTAGGGAAAAACCAGCAAGCCTCCAGCTTTCTTTTTGATTAAATGAAAGACACTAGACAAATGGATTCCATTCTTGACCCCATCAAACAGCACTTACTAGCCAAATCGCCCTGTCTGGTAAAACATGGTTCTATTTTTAGTGAGCATTATAAAATGTAAACATGTACAAGTTTGCCTGGTATTTCATGGGGTTGCTGCTCTGCCTCTAACAGTTCAAGTGCAAGTTGTTAAGACCAGATTTGTGGTGGTGTGTGTCATTAACATTTTTCTTGCCAAGGTTAAAACAACCAAATATAAACTGAAAACAAAATAAAAAGCAAGGTCTCCTCTGCATTCAATCACACTGATATTCAACATAAGATGGCACGTCACTAGGCAAATCATTCAAACTACAGTTGGGAGGCACCTTCTAAACACTGTGAATTTGAGAACAAGGAATTTAATGGTAGTGCAAACCTCTCTGTTCACTGTCCTCGCAACAGTATCCATCTTCTCATGAATTAAGAATCGTTAAATTTTTTTTTTTAATGAGAAAGCAGTTTCAAGATAAAAAAGTATTGCTATAAGTTATGGTAAATATCTTTATCTCCGACTTCGACCCTTTCCCACCAGTGTGAAAAGTGAATAAAGACAGCAAGAGTTTTTAGAAAGTTAACTTATATTAAAAAAGTATATAAACAATTTTAATACTACAAAGTAGTATTTCAATACAAAGCAGTTCAAATATTAACTGTTCTTTAAACTGTTAAACTTTATTATAAATTAAAATTTCTTTACAAAAAAATTGCACATAATATTTGACCACTCTTAGGTTCTGATGCACTGGCATTTGCAATAGTTTCTTTAATCTTCAAGTTAAACAGTCTCGGCAAGGAGTCCAGAACGTAGAAAGGGCAATAAACAACCCTGAAAGAGCATTCAAGTGCAACTAGCAGACTTGTGGCCATGGCAGTTACACTTTCCTTAAGATGGACTGCTATAGTTTTAAATCCTGAAATGAAGAATCTCAAAAAAAATTTAAAAAGGAAAAACTAAAAGGGACTGCCTGCTTTTTTACTGTAAACACAGCCCTGGATATTAAATCCCAAACAGGAATCTCTCAGGCATCAGAGAGTGTCAAGTGAATCAGGAATAACACAAAATAAAGGAATGGGGGAGAAAATAAAAAACAAAAACAAGGCAAAATTAAAATAAATGTCAGTCACTTTGAGAACTATACTTACGTATATGATGTTATGAGAATCTGGCAGGGCCTAGAAGCAGGCCAAACAGGAAGTTCATTTATCCAACCGAAGAGGATCATGTTCATTGCTTCCGGTTTTGAGGACAGGATATTGTAGGGAACTTGATATGATCAATAATGCTTGTCTGCCTTACACAGACCTTAGCCAGGGATCAGCCTAATCTTGAAGAATCATTCAAATAATTTTGGCAATTATTATAAGGACTTAGAACTGACTGCACCCAGTGTTCAGTGATTCTTGCTTTCTGTTTTGTTACTGTTTAAATTTAAGAGCTCATTTAGGCTGACTCCAATCTCTTGGCACTTGGAAACTAGTTTTCTCAGGTTATCAGTTTTACCTCCTTCTGATGCTTCAAACAAGAGTTGCTGTAAAAGACAGGGAAGCATAGAAGTAAGACTTAGCTAGAGTTTGAGCATTACCACATCAATGGATATGGCACATGCAGAAAATTTACAGGAAAACATCAAGATAAAATAAAAGATAAAAAGCATTACATCTTTCCACAGTGATGCACAAAGAGGTAACTTCTGTAAGGCTCTCTGATATAAACGGTGGACCTGTAAGATAGATATACACACAATTCCATCAGAAAACATAATGAAAAACACCTTCATAATTCTATCTGTTTAAAGAATGGTAATTCACAGTAACATCTGAGACAAAATGGTTATGCTGAGTTTTGGAGTTTCCAAATATTTGGTGCTCTTAAAATGTTAACTACTTTTGTTTCCCCACCTGGTTCTGAGTGTGCATGAAATGTTAACTTCTGTGCTTTAATTCTTTTAAATTGAGAAGTCAACAAAAGGCACAGAAAAACTTTTTAAAAGTGACCCATCTGATATTCAACCATGGCTTACCTCTCTTTGTCCCTTTAGAACAATCTCAGCAGCAATGGCTCTAAGGAAAAAAAAAAAAAAAAGGAATACAGAAAAAGGAAAAGAAAAATTTATATATCTTTGAACAAAATGAAACACCACCACTGGCAGAATACTGACTGTGGGAATCTGAGTACAAAACTTCCTGAAAGTTAACAGGCTAAACTTCCAAGGAGGAAAACCTATAGTGAAAAGAAAAATTCAACAATTTTTATCAACTTTACAAGAAAAAAGCAGACCAGTGTTTTGAACATAAATAACGTTCACGGGAGGAAAACAAAAACAAAAACAAAAACAAAACACCTCATAATTACTAGTCAAAAATACCTAGCACTAACACCTTTAAAAGAAAGAAGAAATCAGACTGTACCAGGGTAGACACACCACATTTCAAAAGAGGCGGTCTTAAAATGACTGTAGCAGATCTGTTTAATAACAGTACTGTTACTTAAATGTTCTCCTTCAAAGAAAATTAAAAGTCTACGCTTTTTGCTTTTAGAGGCAATTCTTAATGAGTACTCACTCTCATTAAACCTCAGTAAATGCTAAAAACAAATCTAAATTAAGAATAGCAATCTGTCCACGAAAAAAAGAAAAAAAAATACATATATATATAGATGTCATTTCAGATTTACCTGTCTGGAGCAAACCTTATAAATAAAAGCAATAGCTATAAAAACATGTACATGATTGTTGCATTACATTTTCCAGGTGGCCAGGCATGTTGGGATATTATATGTAAACATCTTGGCTTGAAGTTTCAGAATCTGAACATTGCTTTCTTCCCATTCATGTTGAAGTAACCTGTAAAGTACATTCAGGAAAATGAACAAAGCATTGCGGTCTAGGGAACCCCAAATGTGCTCTATGAGCACAATGATTAAGTATAAATCTTGATTAGTTAAATTCCATAAAGGCTACCCAGCAAATATTTCAGAATGTCTCTTACAAAAATTACCCTGGGACAGGAATGTGCAAACTATGAAGAGGTCAAGTCAAGATCTATGCTCATCTTACCAAACTACACTAAGGTGCATGTATTTCTATAGGACATAAAAGCATTTCCTCCAAATAAGAGTCCCTATTTCCCATCCCAATTTTTTTTTTTAAACTAATGGCTTGATATTAATGCAATTTCCTGGTATTTTTCTTTCTTAGAGTATGATCAATCTTAAATATTTCTTGAACTAAAATGCATGTATAGTAACCATTAAAGTTCTCTATTCTCCTGGAAAAAAAGAACAGGGACGACCAGAGGAAATAAGTGTCAAAACACAGAGGTAGGGATTTACCAACAAAATAAACAAGTAAACTACCTACATTCTAAAATGCCTATCACAATAGAAAATTATGTCAAAATATGACCACATTTTCTATTTCACATTTTATCAAAGGTGTTTCATAATTAACATTTCTGTAATGAGCTTCTACAGACTGGCAGGCTTGCTAAGAAAATTGTAAAATACTACCATTATCTTTGTCTCAACTGTAGTTTTTAAACTTTTATATGATTTTCCCCACATACATGCTAAATGAAATGTAAATCCTTTAAAACATAAGGGAACATTTTATAAATATTTTAGGCATCTTATGATCCATAAAACGATAAGATACAACTGATGCAGTGGGAATGACTGTACAAGTGGAGGCCAATGCATTAGCGTGCAGGGTACCTTTTTGAATTAAAAAGCATAATTCTTGTGGATGAAAGTGGGTTTGCTGTATCAGAGCAGAGAAAGTACAAAGAAAGGCTGAGAAATCTCGTTCTGACTGAATATATGAAATCCCTAATCAGTGCTTCAAAAATGTGGTGTGAGGGCTCAAGGTCAGGAATCTACATTTTAAATGAGCATCCCAGGAGATTCTAATGTTTGCCAATATTTGAAAGCAACTGACCTAGGTGAAAATATGAAAGCCTCTTAAATAATATTCCCTTGCCATGGAAAACAAGCTTACTGCTTATAATGCACATGCTAAGGACAGATGGTGTGTGTTTAGGGAACACAGTTGAACTTTACTTGAATGGAATTATTTGCCCCCTTGTAACTTGAAGTTTTCTGAAGCGACCAGAATTTTTACACTGACTTTTGAACGAATAGCTAAATATTGGCTTAACAACTCTGAAATTAAGTAGTATATATTCATGAGGACATAATGGAACAACAGACTATTTTTATCAAGTTTTCAAGAATAATTTTATATGAAGAGCCTATTCCATTAGGCAGAGAACCAAAAGAATGTTACTTTTTCTTACCTCAATGCAAGTCCAGAATTAGCTGGCATAATTGAACAAAACCGTTCCAAGGTTTTGGAATGCTGGGTCTTTGGAACACAGCTCAAATAAAAGAAAATAACCTGTAAAGGTTGAGGGGGGCGAAAAATGAATGCAACCAAAATGTGAAATCCAATTACCTATGTGTTTTAACACGAAAACCAAAATGGTCTTTAAGATATGAATGTATAAATTATAGTAATGTATGATGTTGTGAGTTACAGTTCCTACCATTAATTTTATTAGTGACTTTCCAAATACGAATTAGGAAATATGGTCTAGTGATGAGAACCATGGGCAGAACACTGACAAGAAGCCAGGAGTCCGGGTTTTCATTCCTGAGTCTACCTTTACTTGCTGTATAGCTCGGCAAGTCATAGGGCTAATAATACCTGCCACATCTTGCTCATGGAATGCCCGTGTGTAAATGACTTAATGTCCATAAAGTGGTTTGAGATCCTGGGATAAAGAATGGCATAGAAGTACAAGCATAATAATTGGTTATCCTGATTAGCAACAAAACTGCCCCACCAAAAATAAATAAATAAAACATATATATGTTTTAGTCTACAATAAGCTTTAGCAAGGAGCTTTTTAGCCTATAATGCGCTGAATAAAAGTAGTACCTGAAAAAAATTTTTTTAAAAAGGTAATCACAAAACTGTATCTTTAGATTCTACTTTTAGAATTATAAGCAGCACCTAATTTTAAACTTTCTTATGCCTTATGTATAGCTATATTTGCTTGACAAAATATTTACAAAAAGAGCAGCTACAACGTATAAGCCCATTCTTACTTATTTTGAAGCTACTAAATTTTTCATTCAGTAGAATTTTCAACTACTCAAGCAAAACATTACAGGTATTACAACAGAATCTTTGATTTGATGTGTTTTTTCATTAATATGTATTACACCTTAATATCCCTTCTATTTTGCTTCCAATGTTAAATTTTCATAACTGTAACATAATAATTAATGCACATTTTAATTGAGCCTCAAAGGGTTCTATTGCTAGACTCTAAATAGATAAGAAACATGGTCAAGAATAATAGTGAATGTTAAGAAAGTAGTCCTAGAAAAAGCTCTCTTGATATAAAACAGGAGTTTTGCTATCATTTTTAAAGTCTCTTTGTTTTATACAAACATCTAAAGAAAAAAGTTTTGAGTTCTTACCCTATTATGAAATTCATAGTTGGACCAGTAATCAGCACTGCTAAAAGGAATGGGGTATCGGGCAGGGACTGTAACCAAACATCTATTCACTAAATCAGTAAAAAATTTGAATTCTTGAACTTTGTTTCTGGATCCAGCAGCTCTATTATTCGCAAAGACAAGATAACTGCCAAAAGAAAAATATTGCAATTTAGAATAACTAAGCCAGTAGTTCTCTCACCAAGAAAGCTGGTCACCCCTTTCCCAACCATACCCCTTTATGCCCAAATCCCATTCTTATCAAGAAAAATTAAACTTACTCCATCCATATCTTCTGTACTATATCACACCTCATGGCCACCCCTAATGCTGCCTCATATGCCTCCACTGTCTCTTTAATACTTGATTGAAGAGGATGACAAAGGCTGTTTAAAAAATGAAGGAAAACATGTCTATCATTCAATTCTATCAGGTGAAGGAATGACAAAGGATTTTAAACATTACAGATGTTATTACAATAGAATCCTTCTTTTGACCTTTCTTCTCCAGTATATAGTAAACCTTAGCATCTCTTCAATTGTGCTTCAATGACTTTAACATCAAGTTAATTATAACAAACACAGTGTAATTCAATAATAAACAGCAAATGCAGGCCTAGTATGCAATATCTCTCCACAGTGGATGTCTCACCAGTAAATCAGCCACAAATAAGGAACTTGGTGGTTAAACATATCATCCTCAAAATTCCCTTTACATAAACGAGATGGAATGTCAATTGGTCCTGGAATATTTAAAAGATACCTGAAAAAAAACCAAGTATTGTTTTAAATTACACCTATACACACATGAATTACACACATTATTTTTTAAAATCGTTAGTTTCACTTAAATTTCATTTAAATATTTTTTAGAAAGCAACGAGACTTTCTTTTCATATGCATACCATACCTCTTTGGTCACATCTCTAGGATTACACGTTACTCACAATGTTTTTTTTGTTTGTTTGTTTTTGAGACGAGTCTCGCTCTGTCGCCCAGGCTGGAGTGCAGTGGCATAATCTCGGCTCATTGCAGCCTCCACTTCCCAGGTTCAAGTGATTCTCATGTCTTAGCTTCCCGAGTAGCTGGGACTACAGGCATGTACCACCACGCCTAGCTAATTTTTGTATTTGTAATAGAGACAGTGTTTCGCCATGTTGGCCAGGCTGGTCTTGAACTCCAGGCTTCAAGTAATTCACATGCCTCAACCTCCCAAAGTGCTGGGATTATAGGCATGAGCCGCTGTGCCTGGCCACAATTTTATTATTTTATACCTATATGAAAAACTCTCCTCCTAAAATGAATTTTTTATTCTATCCCCAAGATTAAACAAAACCCCATAATGCTCTAATTAAACCTAGTTTAAAAAGAACAAATGAGTCTACCAAGTATCTGAAATTTTCCAATGAAATCTGTACTTTCTTGTTAAAAAAAGATTTACAAGGCCTGGGGCTGTGGCTCACACCCGTAATCCCAGCACTTAGGGAGGCCAAGGTAGGTGGATCATTTAAGGTCAGGAGTTCAAGATCAGCCTGGCTAACAACTTGGGTGAAACCCCAAGATCTCTACAAAAAATACAAAAATTAGCCAGGCGTGGTGGTGCATGCCTGTAGTCCCAGCTACTCCCGGGCTGAGGTGGGAGAATAGCTTGAACTCAGGAGGCAGAGATTGCAGTAAGCTGAGATCACAACACTGTGCTCCAGCCCATGTTAAAGAGTGAGACCCTTTCTTAAAAAAAAAAAAAGGATTTACTAAACCTTATGTCTGAAAGTAATCTCTCTCACATACAGCCATACACACATATAACCCATTTAAGTTTAATTTTAGACATGATATCAAAGTGTATTCTATAACACATTAGCCCATAAGGTACCTGTCAAAAGAGATCTATGATCAAATAAGTTTGGGAAATATTACAAATTATAGCCCCTTCTTGAAAAACCACAATACTTACTAGGATTGTAAGTCGATCCCAGTAACTCTAAAAAGTCAATCAGTAAAGAATTCTACTGGACTAAGTCCACTTTCCCTCCAATGTATTTTAATCTGTGTGTAAGACACCACCATCCTTAAGAACAACGTTTTTAAAGGAAATACATTGATCACAAAAATGACAATCTAGTATAACTATTTGTCTTAAATTTTTAAATAATTGCAAGGGGACAAGTCTTAATGAATTAGACAGGCTGCATCAGGGGCAAACATAAGAAAGACAAGAAATAGAACATCTAGAAGTCAGGTTATCATCCTGACTTTGCCAAGACAAGCTACATTACCATGAGTTAATCCCTTAACATCCTCACTGAAAACTGAGATGGTCAGAAGAGATAACTTCAAATCTAATCTACTTAAGACTATAATCCCTAGTTTAACTTTAGTAAAGTAAATGATATCCCCAAATTAATTTTTCTAGCTATCTACTTAATCTTCAAATTGACTTGAAACACATGAAAATTACCTATCTAGTTCCCTCTGCCTGCCATCTTTATACTAAATGTCACATAGAGAGTTGATTCAACTCCAGGTAAAAATTACAATGCTAAGTATTTTGCTTAACAATTTCTACTCATGAAATTTTAAAAGTATTTTGAACCAATTAAGAGCAGATTTCTCCTATTAATAAACACTGACAATTTATAAATTTTAAAAACTTGTATCAATATACAGTAAGTATGGCAAGGCCAAAAATTATCTCATCTATCGTCATTCTCCTAATAGCTGATGAAAAAGACTTTCTAAATTAACAGAAATGCACAATCTTTGTGTAAACAAGGGTTTCATTGTTGTCTAAATAAGCTATAAACAGAATACCTTTTTCTCTTAATTCTCAGTGAATTATGACTATTTCCACAAAATAATAAAGATGACTTAGTAATGAGAATATATTTGGAGACAACTCATTTTCAAATTTTTATTGATGCTTATTTATTCTGCCTTATTAAGCTGGCATCAAGAAGATCTGAAAATCTTCGATTAGTTACCAAGGCAGAAATTGGTAGCATTTTCTTTTAAACTAAACCAATTATCTCCGTGCCCAAGGGAAGACCAGAATCAGCAATCTCTAAAGAGCTTGGTTCAGCCTTGAATTAGTCCTTTGCCTGAGCTTGAGATGTTAAAGCAAACCAATTTAAACGAGGAAGAAATTGAGTATGGAGAAGCTGAAAAATCTCTAAACTCCTTATAGAAGTTTAATTATTTTCTATTAATTTGCATTTAGAATTATTTCATTTGTAATTATTTGTAAATATTAATATAGATGTAACAGAGCAGAAAGAAGGGTCCTTTGGGAAGGGCACTAAAATTGCAATGGCAATAAATTGCTACCATAAGAGGACATATATAAAGACTCAAGTCTGGAAGGGAATAGTGTTCCCAAATCTCAAATAAAACTGCCATGTTCACAAAAAGTTCTAGGGTGGGCCGGGCACAGTGGCTCACAACTGTAATTCTAGCACTTTGGGAGGCTAAGGCAGTCTGAGCTCAGGAGTTCAAGACCATCCTGGGTAACACAGTGAAACCTGTCTCTACTAAAATACAAAAAATTAGCCAGGTGTGGGGGGTGTGCGCCTGTAATCCCAGCTACTCTGGAGGCTGAGACAGGAGAATTGCTTGAACCTGGGAGACGGAGGGTTGCAATGAGGTGAGATTGCACCACAGCACTCCAGCCTGGGAGACAGAGCGAGATTCCATTTCTTAAAGTAAAATTAAAACAACAACAACAACAACAACAACAAAAACAAGGTCTAGGTTGAACAGATCACTTACTTAAAAAAATTTGGGCTTTAAGATTCTATTTTCACTCATCTGTATTTTCTACAATAAATTTTTTTGAGAGATATTCAGCTTAGGTCTTTCTTCTCTCAGTTCTTCCTAATACAAAATAGAGTATGTCGTGATAAAATATTTTCCTTTTGATGCTGCTTTAACTTAGGATCAGCAAACCATGCCTATTTTTGTAAACAGCTGTACTGGAACACAGTCATAACCATTCATTTACATTTCATCTATGGCTGGTTTCTCAATAAAGCAATATAATAGTAGAGTAGTGGTAATAGACTACATGGCTACATAGCCTGCTAACCTAAAATATTTACTTTCTGGCTCTTAAGAAAAAAGTTTGCTAACCCCATAAAGAGATGAGGAGGACAAAGGAAAGATAATTTTAAGAGGCTCCCCCCTAAAAAATCATTATTCAAAACCTGCCATGACCTCTTATTGTTGGAATAGGAACTCTCAGGAAAGACAGTAAGTACAGCTCTATATGAGCTATTAAGAAATTAATGGTTGAGAAAAGGATCCTCTGAAACTTCTTACTCCATGACATATCAAGGGCTAGAGTAGTTCTCTTCAGAATTAAAAAAAGAAAAAGGCATATTATTTATATTCACTTTGATAAACAATCAAATAAATGAAAATATATTTTGTAAAAAATCACTGAGATTGCCTTGGGATAACTAAGTGCTATAATATTCAGTACTAAAATTAACAACAATAACAATAAAGTAAAAGAATGAGTTACTATGGTTATAATATATGCCTTACTTTGTATAGTGTGTTTAATCCAAAGAATGTTAAAGAATTTTCCATCTTGCCTCCATTTTTATTGTTCTATTTATTCTGTTTCGAGTATTCTGTTAAGTACTAAAAAGTCAGTCTAAAAGGTAATCATTTAAGAAAAAAACTGTAATCTTTCTACTGAACTGTGCTCTCTCTCATTCCTCTACAAACTAAGAATTCTACAACTTACCGAAACAGATCCAAGTTATTATACTTCTCAAACCCCGGTTTAAAGAAGGATGCAATAAATTTCCGCAAAAATGGAAGAAGATTATCGCCTCGATTCTATTTTAAAAAGAGGGAGGGGGATATATATCAGGCTTACAATGTTTAATTAAAATGTCACAAGGGAGAAAAAAAGCCTTAAAAAAGTACTCATTAGATTAAGTTTCTTGGGTGGGTAAGGGGCGGAGGGGATGAGTTTGAGACATACTCAGAAAACTGTTATTATATTTTACTCTCTGAATTAAGTTCCACTAACGATTAAACAGCTTAACCTCTAACACTACCATAGGTTCACATTTCATCCACCAATTATGCACTAGTCATCTAGCACTGTGGTAGGCGTTGGGCTGCAAATATGAGTAAACATGTTCCTTGCCTTCAAGAAGTTTAGTATAGCATATATTAAAGTAGCTAGGAATAAAATTACAAAGCACTGTAATAAGTGTTAAGGTAGAACTATGGCAGAGAGAGAAGGAACACTTAACACAACTTGCAAAGGGTAAAAGGACCAGGAAACACTTCCTGGTGCTGACAGGGAAATTTGAAATATAAAAGCATCATATTTAAGAATTATACATTATTTTTTACCTGTAAGATGAAGAATTTGCACATATGATAAAAAACCTCTGCATTCTGAGGATTTTTTTCAAATGCAGTAAGCCACAATGCTCTGGCTTTGTCATGCTGATTTGTTTTCAAATATAATGCAACGAGGGCTTCCAGCAACTGGCAGTTAATGGGACATGATTCCAGTAAAGATTTACAAAGCTCCATTGCAGCCTCATACCTTAACAAAAACAAAAACAAAAAGGTTAAAAACATGAAAAGATCACTTTTTAATACAAGGTGAGCTGCTTGGCAATTAAGTTGTACCTCTCCAGGAGTTGGTGCAGAGCAATCATGTTTGTGTAAAGTGGAAGGCAGGTCTCTATTCTTTCCTCAACAGTAAGGCTCTCATCTGTGCAAGCTTTCACCGCATCTACCCAAAAACATCACAACATGAATCATGTCAATCATAAAAATGAAATATTTGACTGTGTTACTTCAACTCCTAGAGACCAATGGGAAAAGATGACCCCTCCCTTTGATTACCCATCCATCATCTTATTCACCTTTACTGAGCTTCTGGCTTTTACTCAAAGGAAGTTATTCAAGCAATCTCCAAAATCCTAAAATTCAATTCCTTCAACTTTTCCTCAACTTTCCTGGTAAGAATAAAGTCATCCCATATGAGCTTTTGCATCTATCAGTGTTTTCATTTAAACAAGTATCTCTGTTATCCTAAATGCTTTAAAACCCATCTCAAAAAAAAAAATTATAGAATAAATTATCTTTTCATCTTTCCCTGACAACTGCAAAGGAAGTCTTGCCCTGCTGCCCCACAGCCATTTGAATGTCTCGCCAAACTAGATCCTTTCCTTACTCCATCAAAACACACTTTTCCCCTTGTAAAGAGTTTTTCTTGATCTTGTTGCTACTTACTAAATGGTACAATGTTTTACTTTGCACAGCTGTGGCCATTTCCTCCTTATCCAATGGTACCACAACTTCCCAGATCCATGGAGTTTAAAAGTGAATGCAATCACTTTGAAACTACACTCTTGAAGTTCACTTATAAGGACTCATATCTAACCAAACATAAAAGTTCACCTCTACCTTCATTTTATTTAACATTTGACAATGTTCTTCCTCTTCTTCTTAATTTCTTCTTGCCTCTGCTTCCAAGAGATTGTTTACATTTCCTCTTATTCCCATTTTAATGACTCCACTGTCCCTTTTACTCCTTACTGTTATGCTCTTAAATCTCATTTCCTCAGAGAAAATATCCCATAGCCTCAACTACTGCATAATTTACTTCAAAAGCACATTATAAAAACTGTAAAGCATTCTATAACACAGTAACTTCTATGTGAATAACACTCAAATCCACTTATGTATTGATAATTGTCCAAGTAAGGTCCACTTCCTTTTTTTTGGAAACGGAGTCTTGCTCTGTTGCCCAGGCTGGAGTGCAGTGGCACGATCTCAGCTCACTGCAACCTCTCTGCCTCCTGGGTTCAGGCAATTATCCTGCCTCAGCCTCCCGAGTAGTTGGGATTACAGGCACACACACCACCATGCCCGACTAATTTTTGTATTTTTAGTAGAGATGGGGTTTCACCGTGTTGGCCAGGCTGGTCTCAAACTCCTGACCTCAGGTGATCCACCTGCCTCAGCAGATTATCAAGTGCTGGGATTACAGATGTGAGGCATCACGCACGGCCAAGGTCCACTTCCTTATTTCCTACCGCCAACAATCATTTCCACTTGAATGACCAATTACAATCACAAATACTACTCCTACCATCAAAATCAGTCTTCCCAACTTACCAGTTTTCTATTAATGACACTTTCCTTTTCCCAGTCTCAAAACTCTGAAATCTTTGATTACTCCTTCTCCTCTTCCCCGACATTTAATCTGCAACCCGCCCCTGCCTCCCCCTGCCTCCCCCCCATGTATTTCTATGTGATAACTTAAAACGTCTCTAATACCCTCCTTCCCAGGATACTTTTCTTGTACTTCAGTTACTGCCATCAGCTTCTGGTTGGTTTTCCTACCATTGGTGTAATTTCTCTTCAAGCACATTTTCTTTCTTAAAGAACCTCTACTACCGTCAAGTCTACCACATTTTCAAGGTTCTTGAAAATCAAGTATCATTCTACTTACCAGGCTTAATCACTACGATTGTCCAGCACAGAATTCTCAGTTTGGCAAGACCTATCCCTTTTCCCAATCACACTTCAAATCCATGTATAAATTCCCATCTACCTGTTGCTTTTTGTTTAACTCCCCTAACAGTAATGTCCTTTCTTTACTTTCCTTCCTTCACTGGGTATTTAACAAGCATTTAATAAGCACTTAATATTCTGCCACACATCCTTACAGGACCTTAGGAGTAAAACGATAAATAAGACAAGGGTCCACCCCCATCTCTGAGGAGACCCAATTTGTCATATTGATAGCCATGCTTCAACATCTAGCTCCAGGTCCCCATTCTTCTATGAAGACTTCCTTTATCATGCCAATCTATAATAATCTCTTCCCTTTGGGTTCATGGCCAGTATCAAATAATTCTATAAATCACAGATCCTAGTCTCGTTTTTTTTTGAGACTGAGTCTCACTCTGTTGTCCAAGATGGAGTACAATGGCGTGATCTCAGCTCACTGCAACCTTTGCCTCCTGGTTCAAGTAATTCTTGTGCTTCAGCCTCCTGAGTAGCTGGGAATACAGGCGTGCATCACCACGCCCAGCTAAATTTTGTATTTTTAGTAGAGATGGGGATTCACCATGTTGGCCAGGCTGGTCTCGAACTCCTGACCTCAGGTGATCTGCCCATGCCTCCTTGGCTGGGATTACAGGCATGAGCCACTGTGCCTGGCCCTAGTCTCTTTTATGTAGCCTACAGTTTAGACTATATACTAACACACAGTTATATGGCCTTATATGTTTAATAATTATGACAAATGTATACATTTTATCTTCTGACTAGGCTATATACTTCTTCTAGGAACAGGCTTTACATCTTGTAATGTGTTCCACAACAGGCCTACCATTTAATATAGAGAAGCAACCAACCTCACTGACTGATGGAGAAAATATTAATTGGCTGACAAGATACAAATCTTTAAACTTCCACCTTAATGGACTGCTAAAAAAAAAAAAAAAAAGGTACCTAGTTCTCTGATTTAATCAATTCATCAAACTTACATAATTTATTTTCTTTACACATTTAACAGATACCATTTGCCACAATCAGAAACATAATGTAATATCATGCAGTTACTGGTTTTCAAAGATGCCAGTGACCATCTTCTCTGATTCAATACTTAATTTGCCTTATGAATCGTGAAACTAAAACTTGCAATACAGAGATATAAATTTGTTCCACTTAATTATGGAGAATCACAATAATGGGTAGTTAATGTTCTAAACACTGATGTTATAACATAACAGTTGATATTACAATTTATAAACTTTATACTTACCTTCAAAAACTGCTAACAACATGTCAGGATTAGTCTTTACATCTTGAACTGCTTGCCATGGCATTACAAATGATTCTGTGTTAACAATTCTTGAAGGATTATCATTAGATGGATCATAAAATTTTGAAGGGAGAATGTTGAATTCAATAAGATGTATGTAGGCCAACCATGCCAAACATCGATCACTTGTTTTAAGGTATTCAGCAACTATTCCATCATTAGCAGATTTCAATGCATTCTAGGAAAAATTTAAAATTTTTTGATAAAAAAATTATTTAGAGATGTCAATACCAGATAAACATAATTTTTACCATGCTAAAGTTTATGAAATAATAAAAAGGTCATATTTGTTGGTACATCTTAAGTGTCCTGATACTTAAAATCTAGTAAGACAAAGACAAAACAGTAAAAAGAAAAAAATTTTTTTAAGCCACACTCATATAGATTATTTTCATCAGACTGATTTTTTTCCCTTATGGCTTGAATCTTGAAGTTTATCTGTGGATACTTAACATAAAATACTTTCATTGAAACCTTATAAAAACTCTACTTATTAGTATCTTATAAAAACTCTACTTATTAGTATCTTATAAAAAAAGATACTACACCCATCAGGCAAATGAGGAAATCAAGTCATAGACTTACCCAATGTCACACGACTTAGCAGTAAGTGGAAAAACAAGGATTCAAATCCAAATCTTGTGCTTTCAACCATTAAATAATGCTATGGATAACAGTGTAGACCTTTTAAACTTTTTCTACAAAATGCAATTAAATCCTGTAACAAGTGCTTACCTGTAAAATTGCCAGTGCACTTTGGCATCTTCCAGTAAATATGTGCAGTTGAACTCTAAACAAAAGAGCCTCCAAAAGCTGAAAGGACAAAATACTGGATGTTTCCCGCTTGGCTGCTCCCATCAGAAACTCCAACATTCTCTCACATACATAATCCTTCTCTTCAAAGGTGCTTTCTAGGTGTAAAAACTGCCCAAAGGGCCTTTATATTATTAATCTTGCCTTACAGGAATAAACCAAAACTACAGACTTTTCACATTTCATTAAAAAACCATCTCATAGTAAATCTTCAACTTCTGCAAAAAGGACAATTGTAAAAATGTATAAATCCATCTTCTAGTACTACAACCTAGACTCCTCTTCTATCACGTATCAAAAAGTAGAATCGGATGAAAACTAAAACAATACAGATATACTCTTATAGTCATCACTGAAGCAATTTCATTTCTCTTTTCCCTGATTTAAAAGGTAAATTGCAGCAAGATCAGGATGAATATCCAAAGTTCACATTTATTATCACATACAATTTGTGTTGCTTAGGTGTGTGACTATATAAAAGTTTTGAGAATAGACTTATATTAGAAACGTGCTGGGCACAGTGGCTCACACCTGTAATCCCAGCACTTAGGGCGGCCAAGGTGGGTGGATCACGTGAGTTTGAGACCAGCCTGGCCAATATGGTGAAACCCCACCTGTACTAAAAATACAAAACTTAGCCAGGCTCAGTGGTGCATGCCTGTAGTCCCAGTTACTTTGGAGGCTGAGGCAGGAGGACCACTTCAACCTGGGAGGCGGAGGTTGCAGTGAGCCAACATCGCACCATTGCACTCCAGCCTGGGTGGCACAGCGAGACTCCGTTTCAAAAAAGATTTTTTAAAAAAGAAAGGAAATGCCTGACAAAACACATTAAAGACCAAACAACTTCAAAGAAAAATATTACAACTTTTGAATATTCCACACCTTATAAAATCTTGTAGTGATCAACAACATTCACTTTGGTACAATGCTCTAGGTTTCAAAAAAGAAAAAAAATAAAATCAAGCATCCTTTACTATCCAAATCTGTTCAGTACCTACGTTCAAAGAGTGAGAAATAGAGTAGGAAGTTTATTAAGGAGTATCATGTTATCTAAATCTATCAGGTTCACAACTTCAGTTGGTAAGTAAATGACAGATCTGACAGCAACAGATTTATTTAAAAATTTATCTGAAACTAATGGCTCCCAAGTTCAGGTGATAAAAGTTCAGGTGAATATTTATTTTATTTCTCAAGTGGATCAATTATAATTTTAAGTCTGGGTAAAAAACATCCCATTCTTGGCTGGGCATGGTGGCTCACATCTTTAGTCCCAGCACTTCGGGAGGCCCAGGCAGGAGGATTGCATGAGCCCAAGAGTTCAAGACCAGTCTGGGCAACAGAGCAAGAACCCATCTCTACAAAAAAATCTAAAAACTATCCAGGCATGGTAGCATGCACGTGTGGCCCCAGCTACTCCGGAGGCTGAGGTAGGAGAATCGCTTGGGTCCAGAAGGTAGAGGCTGCAGTAAGTCATGACTGCACTACTGCACTCAGCCTGGGTGACATAGTAAGACGCTGTCTCAAAAATTGACAGCCAAAAAAACCATCTCATTCTCTTGGAGAAAGAAGAGGAGGCCACTTTTTCTCAATCAAATGTTTTTAGCTTGGCAACTTTAGATATTAGTGTGAATTACAGATTGGGATTATTTCTATAAGCATGGAAACAAATAATAAAAAGACAAAAATGTTTCCTGGCAGTCATTATAATTTTATAGAGGCAATTTAAGATAAATTTAAAAGAAACAATTTTTTCAGGTGTTTTGCAAAAGCTACACTTAACTTTGCCCAAACTAAAACTGTGTAAATATAGGTAAGTGTGAAATTTTTAATAATTTTACATTTTTTCTTTACTAATAAAGTTAACAACAAAAAAAAATCACTGCTTCACTAAATATTTTCTTCTGCTTAGTCTAAATTCTGATCCAGAAGTGGCTTTGTGGTTACTAGAAACTGAAAGTAAGGTTATTATATCCATATTCAGATAAGGCATATGCTCTATTAAGCTACATATCAATATTTAAGATGATCCAAAGGATTACACACAAACGCGCGCACACACACACACGCACATGTACGTTATCTTTTCTACTCACAGTCCAAAAGCTTTGATAATCTGGAGCATATTCAACAGCTGTTTCACACATTTCCTGCACCTCGTCCTTGGTTCCTCTTTTTGAGAACAATCTGAGGTAATGGCACCAAATTTCTGGATTGTCTTTGTTATTTTCCAATGCTCGCGCCAGAACGTTTAAAGCAGAATCCAAGGATTCTGAGCACTCCCTGTATTTATAAAAGAAAAGCCGGGAGTGCTTTTTAGAACCTGCTTGAAAATTTAAACAGGGCTAATACAATGAATCAATTTTAAAATTCCATTTTTATTAGAATTTACCAAGAAGCCAGGATCACTTATGAAAAGGGGTATTAGATTAAGATTTTAAATCACGTGCCTGAAAGTTTCTGATTTTCCACAGACTCAACAATGTTTTAAGTGAACGTTCAGTAAGCATTTACCACAGACAAAAGTACAGTGTTATAAAACCACTAAGATTATCAACTTCAAATGTGCTTTATGTCTATATTCAGCAACACCTTTTATGATTTACACTGTTCAAGAATGGGAAAAGGTAAATGACTCTCTCTCAAGGCCAGCTACTGCAAGTACAAAATATCAAAGCTTTCAGTATAATAGTTCTTTTCAACGGTCAAGGGCTTGCTATCTCTTGGAGAAGATAATTCTTTCTCATGATCCTATTCATAAAATAATGTACGGTTCTTTTGGCCTTCACTCAGTAAATGAGTCAGAAAAGAAAACACTGTACTTATCCCATTAACATGGAAATGACACACAGGAAAGTTAAATAAGCAACACATCCAGGCATGTGTGGGTTTATTAGCACTCTGCAGCACTGCCTTATTTAAAAGCTTTTAAGATAGTCAAATATTTCAAAGAAATGTGTAAAAAAAAAAAAAAAAAAAAAAAAACCCTTGAATTATTGTAACTATAAAGTTATAATTATGAAAAGACTATTCTTGGCTTATTTATACTACCAAGAAGTTAGAAGATGCCATTTGCAATACAAACTATTGGTTGTATAAGTTATTACTATTTACCTTATTTAAATACATATAATTTAATATGACACAGAGACAAAAAGAAAATTCACCATAATTTGGAGGTTCTCAGATAAGCTTTAAATATCCATTACAAATTAACAAAATTTAACCCGTTCCACCATTATTTTATCATAATTTTATTAAAAACCTATGACTACTATGATTTTTTTAAAAAACCAATCAGAATTTACTGTTTTAACTAATCCTACTTTGAAATAAGAGCCTACTGGAGTAAAAAACTTTAGTATAATTTATTACCCATACACTGAGCCATGCACACAAACTCAAGATCTAATCTTAAACTTGTCTAATAGCTTTTAAACAATAAAATGCTTTTGGCTTTGTCAAAAAACAAAGACTCCATTGATACTAGGAAAGAAACCTGACTGATTACCATAGGTTAAAAAAAACCTCAAACATAAAAATATAAATGTGCAACTGTTTACACAAAGATTTGAAGCTGACCTACCCCTCATTTTGATTCAAGTACTTGTACGCAAGCTTGAGCCAAAGTTGTACATGAGAAGGATTTTCAAGCACACTTGCTTCTAAATTAGCGATGTCATCAGTCTCATTTGTAAAGTATCTGACATCATCTGGAGTGACAACTGTATCCAGAGCTGGAACATTTATTTGGTTCTCTGGCTGGAAAGCTATTTAAAAAAAAAGTATTATTAGCTTCATATTTTCTTTAGTCCACAGATGCAAGAAAAAGAAAACAATTGTTCTCATCTTTAAAATCACTTAAAAACCTAAAGATTCTAATGATATGTACTAGCTCATAGCTTTAAGGTAGAGCTATGACATAATTTATCGCCCAAACCAGGAGCCTTCTGAGTGGAAAGAGGAGTTATTAAAAATTACACCAGAACAAAAGGAGTAATTAGGACTCTACTATTTTAAGGCTAAGTGACATTACCTTTTCAGTCGACTTATCAGTAACCATGATTCAACTGCTTTTTCATTATCATCAAATGAATTCACGTTTGTTAAATTGCAAATTATAATTAAAAGTCATACTTTATAAAGATTATTTTACTATATCTAAACTAGAAAAAAAGTGTTACATTAGTGTAAATAAGTATATAATAGTATTCATCTCTTGGATACTTGCTAATTCACAAATCATGCAAACTTGAAATTAGAAAGTAAAATGTGCCAAACATACAGGTACTCATTCATACATTATTCTGTTCATTAGTTCATCTATCATTGGTTCATTCTCATTTTTTGAGCCTTCTGCATGTCAGAAAACATATTCAAAGATGAAGTAAAATAGAACACCTGCCCTTAAAGAGGACACAGCCTGGGCAGTGGTTCTCAAATGGAAGCTACCTTCCCAGACAACTAATGTATGTTTGGAAATATCTGAAGCAGTCATAATTATTTACTATGCAGTACTGCTTGCATTTACTGGAGAGAAGCCATGAACACAAATATCCTGCAATTTCAGAGGCGATCCTGCACAGTGAATTAACTGTATTGCCTAAAAACCCAATGGCATCGTTTTTACAAAAAAATTTTTTTTAACTAGGCAGGCTGATACACCAAAGGATTTGCAAAGTGTTAAATAAAGATGGAACACCACAATTTAATAATTCTGGATCTTAAATTACATAACTTCTTACCATACTTAATTGGTCCTGTAGACTGTTCCTCATCACTACTGAAGCTATTATCTGAAATAGGTTTTCTCCAAAACTTTGGCTTCCACTTTCTTTTATCTTTGTAGGTTGTAAATGGAGGAGCTAAAGTAGATAGGAGAAGATTGTTAATTGATATAACTAGTTTTTTTTTCTTTTTTAACATTTTGAAGGATATTCAATATTTGAAAAGAACTACATTTACTCCATCTTAAAAATGATATGTGTTTTTTTTTTTTTTTCTTTTTTTTGACACAGAAGTGTCGCTCTGTCTCCCAGGCTGGAGTGCAGTGGCGCAATCTCTGCTGACTGCAACCTCCGCCTCTTGGGTTCAAGTGATTCTCTTGCCTCAGCCTCCCAAGTAGTTGAGGCTGCAGGCACACACTACCACCACCCGGTTACTTTTTATATTTTTAGTAGAGACAGGGTTTCGCCATGATGGCCAGGCTGGTCTCAAACTCCTAACCTCAAGTGATCAGCCCGCCTAGGCCTCCCAAAGTGCTGGGATTACAGGCGTGGGCCACCGCACCCAGCCTGAAATGATATGTATTTTATATTAAGAACATAATACCAACAAAATCTGTCATACAGAAACTAAAAAGTCCTTTTCAGAAAGAGATGCAGTACACACACACACACACACACACACACACACACACTCTCTCTCTCTCTCTCTTATATATGTACTTACTATGACCTTTACTTTCATTGATATTGCTAACAAGGAGAACAGCCATCTGGTCCATTGACATTCGATCTTTGTTTACTCCAAAAAGTTTCTCAATGTATTTTTCTGAAATACATGCAATGCAATCTTCATGACAAATATCAATTAAGAGACTAGGATAATTAAAATGTATGACATGAACTAGTTTAAGAATTAAAGGCGAGTATATGGTACTAGTCAATAACACCTATGGCATTTGAAAGGGCAAAGCCTGTATTATCTTAACTACTATAGCAAATCCTACCACATCATATACCCAATTTGGGCTAAAAAAAAAAAATAGTTCCTGAAATGAACTAAATAATTAAGTTAAAGTCCCAATTTGGGAGCAATAAAATAGATTCAGTGACATTACAATCACTCTGGGCTGTGATAACACCAAATTTAGTAATTATTATTTCCTTTACTTTCAAAAGATTTGTAGCTTAAGGTTTATTATTTGGCACCAAATCTGAGAAAAAGCTTAATAATATTTGCTCACAATGTGTGACAGTAATCTCTGCTTTCTACACAAAGTGTATGAAGTCTTATTTCGTTATAGAATTGGAAACAACAGCCATGGTAATTTCTAGCCTTCCTCTATTTTTGAAAACAGTAAGTAAAAATAGGGTCCTATGCTAAAATCAACAGGAAAGTTTCTATACAAATAGCTTAATGTTTTCTTTTAAATAAATGGAACTAAATATTTAAATGAGTTCTGTCCAAAGAACTTTCTGCAATGTTGGAAATGTCTTAAATCTGTGCTGGCATGCACTTGCCACATGTGGCCACTGGGTACTTGAAATGTGGCTAGTATAACAGAGGAAGTAAATTTTTACCTTAATTATACTGGATACAGCAAATCTAGATAAAGCATTATGGGTAAACACACTGAATTATAGTAAGTATTTTACAATGTCAACAACTAAACATATAATTTTTAAGTTGCTTAAATTCAATTTTCATTTGAGAGAGAGTAAGAAATCTTTAAAAACCTGCTGCAGCAGTAATTTCTTCATTAGTACTTGTCTCTGCACAACCAATCAAAGACAGATTATATGACAGAATGTCCTGGAATAACTGTTTTCGGCTAAGCGTATAGTCTTGTATATGTTGCCTAAGATAAAAAAAAACACAGAAAAGATAATCATGTACATATCAAAGTTAAGCAAATAAGACCGTTTTTCAAATTACAGAAGGTTCACAAAAACTACTCACCATTGACAATCATCATCATTACATGTTCCTGTTAAATCAAAACGGCAGAAACACTGATCCGGTTTAATCATATTACTGTATGACACTGAGCTCAGAGGAAGTTTTTCCTTGGTTCGATAGTATGGACTAAATCTAAGGTGAAAAGAGTGAACAGGTATATTATGCCCAATAAATATTCCTCAGAAAACTAAGAAAACTTTAGTTTTTCTTTTTCAAGTTAAAATTTCCATACTTACTATTTATGAGGTTTTTATCAAATTAAATTAATGCCAAAATTAATTCGAGAAAACACCCAGAATATCAAGTGATAGAAACAAGCCGCTTACCAAGAACATAAAACAGTTGAAATAGAAAAAACCTTGTATTCTAAAGGTAGTTTCTCACCACATGATAAAATACCATATATAATACTGGTATTTCTTACACACATTACCAGCTAAGACAAGAACATCTGGAAAAAGTCTATACTACCTGGAAGGTGCTTTACAATTTTCAGATAAAAACATGCAACCCTTTAACATTCTCACAACTTTTAAAAGTCTAAAAACTTTGGGGGACCCACAAAGTTAATCATTTGAAAACATCTAAATAAATACTCTGAAGGCTGGCCAATGCACTTCTTACACTGAATAACAGTAAAATTAAAAATCAAAAATTAAAAAAACCTCTAAGACTCCAATTATTTTTCCTAAAATCCCTAACAAACAGAAATCCAAAATCCTCCACATTTCTACCAATAGCCAGAAACTGGAATTTGATACGAATTGATAAATCCAAGAGTGTGGTTTGAGCCCAACAGCAGGACACTTAATTTTTTATGTTCCTTAAAAGGGTAAGTCTGGTTATCGAGAGCAATGATTCAACTGCTTTTTCATTATCATCAAATATTCAAGGTAAAATATTAAAAACCAAAGAGAAATCCCGAAATTCAAGCTTATTGAATCTTTCTTCTATACCTGTAGGACTTAAAAACTAGAAGAGGACTATGGTAGGGTCTAAAAGGACATGGCTTCACTTCCATTGTTTTACTTTGTGCTGTGACAAAATCCACATCTACAGAAATCTCCTGCAAAAGAAAATAAAATTCTGTAAGGCAAGTAAGGCTGGGGTAAATTCCAGATTTTAGAGAAAATATGAAATGTTCAATTACCTGACCATGCAAAACCTTCTCTGTAATGCCTGTGGTGGTTTTTAAAATCAGCTGTTTTAGGCTGTCAGCTTTTGAATATAATTTTTGCAATTCACCAATTTTTAACCCTAGAAAAAGTTCTGGTTTTTCTACCGTATTTTTATTAACTTTGTTTATGCATTCTTTGTTAGCGTTATCAGTGTGCTTAAGGTTAGGTTTAGTAAAATAATTGGATTCTAAAAAGGATCTTCTTCGCTCTCTGCTTGAACCAGACAAAATTTCATCATCAACATCATTTTCTTCAGTGTCCAGGGTTAATTTATCTTGTGTCAGATCATGAAGTGAGGGTTGAGGTAAAGAAAATTCGGGTTCCTCTTCCACAACTGGAGAGATATTTTGTTGTTCCTTTGCTTTAAGGGCCCGGGCTTCTTTTAATTTTTGAATTTTCAGGGCATATTCATATTCCAGCTTTTGTAACCGTCTTTTCTCCATAGCAATTAGTTCTGCTGAATGCTTTCTTGGACTTGATACTGGAGAACCGTCCAGTCTCATCATTTTGTTTGGCTAAGGGAGAAAAATGATATAAATACTTTACATCACTGTGATTTTATAAACAACTTCTGGTAAGATAATTGTGCTATCCCCACCATACAATGCTAACATTCCAAAACTAAATCAATATGGAGAATAAAACAGAGTTTAACGTAAGTAGCCAAAAGTTTTGCTAGTTAATCTATGACTTATGAAAAAAACAAAGTCAAGACAAAATAATAAAGTAGGCATCCAAAAATGTGGATGTCATTTAAAAACAAAGCTTTAATCTTAATCTCTTGGAATTTATAGCAAAGAGTTACTTTATATATACATTTTACCCTTAAAACTATCATAAAAACTTTCTGCTTTCTAAAAATATTTCTATAAAAAACTCACCCCAAAGCGATCTTGTTCCAGTTTACGTTTTCCTATTTCTTTACTAGCCACTGCCTTTGCCCGAGCAAGCTCTTCTCCATATTTTAGAGTCAAAGCTTTCTTAATTGTAACACGCTGTTGAACTCTGTGAATCTGAAAATATAGAATAATCCTCAAAATGTAAATGAAAACCTTAAAACAGGAAATTTCTTCTTCTCAAACACCGCAGCTTTATTCAACTGAAAATAAAAATATTCCAATATTATTTATCAATGAGAAACTACAGGTTACACATATTTTGCTGGCGTTAGTATATGGTGGTTTGTCTTACAGAAAATTTGGCCTATAAAAATGTGTAGTAAATGGGAGACTACAGTATTTTAAAATAATTACTTGTTCCTGAAGCTTCTTCAAAAACATTCTGTTAACATTAAGAATTTTTTCAGTTGCTTGAAGCTGTTCTGTAAGTTTTGTAATCTTTGCTTCAGCATTTCTAACAGATTCTTTCTTCTTGGCTTCTTGCTGCACAAGATTCTTTAAAACAGATTCATCTTTCATCAAGAGAATCCTAAATGAGAAATAACAAAATTCTTGTTAATGTTTCCCTACAAGAGCAGACTAATACTGTCAGAATAAAAAATTTTCAAAGTAGTAACACAATTTTTAAAAATGCATCTACAATGGGACACAGATAAAAATTTAAAGGGATGAATATTTTTATATTCATAACACAGGTATTTAAAGTAACACTGCTACACTGATAATAGTAACTATGAGGCTGATCTCTTAAAAAAAAAAAAAAAAACACCATTTAAGCTTGAGGTAATGTCAATTACTGTTGAAAACTTATAGTAAATACTCAATGTTGGGCCAGGCGCGGTGGGCACACATTTCCCTGGTTCAAGCGATTCTCTCACCTCAGCCTCCCAAGTAGCTGGGATTACAGGCATGCACCACCATGTCCGGCTAATTTTTTTTGTATTTTTAGTAGAGACAGGGTTTCACCATGTTGGCCAGGCTGGTCTCAAACTCCTGACCTCAAGTGATCCACCCGCCTCGGCCTACCAAAGTGCTATGATTATAGGCATGAGCCACCGTGCCTGGCTGGTATTTTTACTTAAACATTAATTTCATTACTTTATGTAAATGTAGTATCATTCAACAAAATGACAGACTTCTACATTCTACAAAGTTTAAGTGAGAAAATGTATAATTCTACAGTATGCTTATTAATAACATATACCTCAAAAATATATTTCTCTACTACAGGAACAATTAGATATGTGAAGATAACAAGGCTCACCTATGTTTTTTCAGTTTGGATTCTGCATCTGTAACCTGCTTAGTAACCATTGCTATCCTGCCAATACCATCAATTTCCACATCAGAGTTTGCTGGAGATGATGAACTTGTCTTCAGCTGATCTGATTTAATCAAACGCTGTTTCTCACGGCTAAAATTATCAAAAAGGATATACGCATTATACCCAAGAATAAACTAATTTTAAAACATATTCTACTTCATGCAGTAACAATATTAATCACACCGACTAATAATAAAGATGATGACCAATATGCATGACCCAAGTTAACATTCAAAGTTGATAGTGGAGTCCTTCTCTTTGAGAGTTTTCATCTTTTTTCTAAGCTGGTTATGTCTCAGCACATCACTCTATTCAAGTCTACGTATGACCATCCAGCTCCCTCTTCTGTGTGAGTTATAAAACATTAACTCTGTATCTTGGATAAAACTATCATCACTCATTTCCCAGTGCCAGTGAACTCTGTAAGAGAAGTTTTGAAAACATCACATACTTTTAATGTAAATTACATAAAATTACACTTACTTGGCAATCTCTTCCTTTAACAATCTATATTCAATCTTCTTTTCTTCAGGCAAAGCCTCTGGTGTTCGCAAAGGATCATTTTCTTTTTCAGATTTTGGAGGTACTTTCGGTTTTGAAGCTTGCTAAAAAAAAAAAAAAATTTGAAGTCAACTAGATCATCAGCTTTCCAAAATTCCATACTAAGATTTATATTTTACATTGCAACCCAGCGTATACTGAATTTATTTAGAAATACCTGAATGTCTTCATCATTTTCTATTCTTTTTTCTAAAACAATGTTCGTTGATAACTACTAAATTATATATGCCACCAAGTAGTCAAGATCTACAGTCTGAAAATCATTGTATTATTTAATAGCTAAACAACAATTGAAATAGCGAAAAAAGGATAGAAGTTGTACTTAGATAATAAATTTTAATAAAAACTGTTTTCTGGTAACACAACACAACTCTAAAACAATAGTCTCCTTACTACAAACAATAATTATCCAACCAATTTTACTATTTTGAAAAAGGAAACACTTAATAGGAAACACAAATAATGGAAACTTTTAATAGTAAAATCAATCTACATTGATACATGCTTCATTATATAAAGTCCTCATAGCACAAATACTTAAAATATATTCACAAATCAATGTTATTAAAAATTTGTAACTTTATGGTTTAATTTTCAGGAAAAAATAAACTTTACTGACTGTCAAAAGGTCATCTTTCTTTCCACCTTTAATTATTGCACTTACCTCAGCAGTTCGTCTTGCTTCTTTAATCATGGACTCTAATCCACCAAAAACACTATTTGTTGACTTGGAAGCCTCTCCATCAGATTCACTATCATCTGAATCATTTAGTGTTACAACCACTGATTTATGCTTTGGAAGCTGCAAAGACAATATATTTATTACTCGTGATAACAAAAGGACGTCATTTAACCTCTCTGAATTTCAATCCACAAAAATAATGGGCTCCAAGTAGACAGTTTATGTCTCCTTCTAGGGTTGTATTACATAATCCACTGTGTCAACCAATACTGGTTATATGCCCAAGACATAAAACATTGTATATTCTTTAAGTCTTTCTATACTATAATTACTCTCATTAAAATTTTATTTTCGCTTTCTATATAAAGAACCACAATGCAATTTAAATTAACTCTTTTAAAACCAAAGAAAAATTATTTTGTTAATTTTACATAATTATCAAAATTCTATACTTTGTGGTTACATATAGAGGGTAAATTGCCAAAACTGGCTTACCTAACAGAGGCAAGATTTCAACTTGTCTTTGTTCTATTTATTTTACTTTGAAGCCATTAGAAAACAAGACAGAAACAAACTATCATTTCAACTTCCTTAATAAACATCACTAATAATTTCTTCCATAATAGTATAGTCATTGGTTGGAAAACATACACAAAGTATACAAAGAGATGGGAGATATAAAAAACATGCAATTTGTTAAAATTTTGACTCCAAAAAGATAGAAAATCTGAATAAGCCAATTTCTATAGAAAAAAAGCTGAAGAAACGACAGAGGAAAGTATACCACTCTGATGAAAACAATAACTCCCCCAACACACTATCACCAAACTCTACCAGTTTTCAAGTGAAGGTGTTGCTCTCATTTTATCAATAAATTAAAAATAAATTTTAAAAATTTGTATTTATATGTGAATATATGTGTATATATAAATAAACTAAGGGGTAGAAAACAGGACAGCTAAACTTCACAGAAATTTCTCACAACTGTTTGAATAAAAGTAGCATTAAATTTTTGTTTTTACCGAGATCACAGTTCGTGGAAGACGAGGTCCTCTGTGAAACTTTGGATTCTGTATCCTAGGCTGAGACACTGTGTTAATACTGACTATTGATAGATTGCTTCTTGGCACAGTATGTGAATTGTTCAGAACTGGAGGTGAAGGTGGGTCACTATTACTGGATGTTTCCTATATAAGGAAGAGAAAGATATGAAACATTCCAAATAAAAATAAATTTCTGCCACCTTTAAAAATTTGGAGCATGTTAGAATTATCCCCACTTGGCAGAAAAGTCCAATGAATCCCAAGTAACCAGAAAAAAGTAGGACTACCGTAAAGCTAAGCTCAAGAGCACCACCTAGAGGTTCAGGTACCTAAATTACCTCTGGCTTAAAAGCTCTTTTATTTGCTAGAGATTTAAGTAGTTCTTCTCGAAGCAGCATTTCTTCCTCCTCTTCCTCATCTGCAAAAGGTGGTTTTGGAGGCTGTTCTGGATCTTCAGGTGGGAGAGGTGGTAATGGTGGTAGAGGAGGTAGAGGTTCAAGAGAAACACACAAGCCTTCCACATAAGGCTGGCTCAAAGGTGGCAGAGACTATTTTTTTAAAAAAGAAATAATTACAATGCAAATTTTATCAACTCAAATGCTTATCTCTGCAGCAATATTAAACTAGAAAAAAATAAACTTTATATTATTATTTTAGCTGTAAGTATAGTAAGCTAAGTATATGTTAACCTCAAAACAAACCCAGAAATCAATAGCCAACCACGAAAGTGTTACTTTTACAATTAAAAAAAAAAAACCAAAACTATATTTGAAACATTTATTAACTTCAAGGAAAATTATAGAAACCTCTCTGTTCTCATTCTTATATACATTTAGCATTCTAGAAAATACACATATCAAATTATACAGGGTCCTTCCTTCTAGATGACTACCTGAAAGCAAGAAGAGATACTGAAACCCAAGACATATTTCAGTAAAAAATAAAAATTAGAAACCAAGGGATTCTGTGAATAACAGTCCAGAGTACCTTAATCATTAATTAAGTATCAAGAAGAATCACCACTACTCTCTTAAAATGGCTTCTTAGAGAATATCTATAAAGGAAACTAATTTTACACAAATCCCTGAATTTGGGTATGTATTTGTATCAAAGATCTTCCAGTATTTCTCTCGGCATTTAGTTCATTTATTTATTTCCCAAAAGAAAACATTGCAACGAAGAAAGTATTGTTTTCTCTCTCACTATTGGCTCTAATATTCCCCTCACCATATATGTTCTAGAAACACACTAGGCATCTTTCCTGAAACGGAAAGGTTCCCTCTTACACTTACTGAGAGATACTCAATTTGATCTCTAGGCTCTCACAATCTAAAATTAATGTCAAAACTTTTAATGTCTGATTCCTCTACTTCCTTTTTTTCCTTTTCCTTTTATTGTTTTCGTTTTTTGGTTTTGTTTTGTTTTTAGTGGGAGGACTGGAGACGGGGGGAAAGAAATTAACTTCATAGAAAATGCTTTTCTTTTGCTGGATTTTCAAGTTAAAAATAACCATCTTTATGAAAAGAGGAGAAAGGAGAGAATATTAATTTTTAGAAGCATCCTAATGCACGTAAATTCCAATTTCCTAAAAAAGAGACAGTCCAAAACAGTAGATAACTTCTGTTTTTGAATAAATTTTGAGTAGCTACTAGATAAGAGTAAAGAGAAGAAGGAAACATGATAGGTACCTAAAAGTCAACATGAAATTAAAAATTAGCTATGAAAAAAATCTACCAAATGGATAGCTTGCTGCTTTAATCAACTGTTTATTCTACATATTTCATTGCTATTAATTCTCGTAAGCAATTCTGATTTTTTAAGCCGTCTTTAAACCTAACCATTCATTTGTTTTTAAAAACAAATTAGAAAAGACAAGATAAAATAATTTTCTTAAAATCAATTTTGACTTACAGAAACCTGAGGTGCTGGAGGCAAAGAAAGAGATGGTGCTGGAGAAAAATACCCCAATGAACATTCAGAGAAAAATGGCGGTTGCACTGGTGAAGGAGCTGTAAACAAATTTTTTGTTAAGAGTTTAGTAACAGAAATATTTCACCAGGAATACATTAGGTTTATGTTATGTTTGAAGAAATACATCTAGGTGGAGTGCAAATTAGATTTTATCAACCTCTGACAAAATCTTTAACGCTTATAAGTCCATCTCCAACCATTTAAAATTGTCATATCATCATAAAGTCAGTCATTCACTTCAAACTAACGATTAGTCCCTCAAAACTCTCACTTTGTTCCACTTTTAACCTAATGATGAGAGCAGGGAATAGAGCAGGAAAGGCTAGAAGCACACTTAAAACACACACACACACACACACACACACAGCAAAACCACAAGCATACTTTTTAAGAAATAATGAAACAAAAAATTCCCTTGAATCCTGCCAAAGTGCCCTAGCCAAAGGAAAACAATGATGTGGTGACTTCATTATTCCCTTCTTGTGGAGCAAAAGAAAGTTGAGGACATGGACTATATAAGCTGTGTTGAAAGAAAATAAAACCAGGAATGAGAATGACTTAGTGTATTTAGTCAATAAGGTGCACATTATTTCACATTTTAATTTTGAAATAATTACAGTTGATGCATCTCAGCATTTTTCTTCCTTGGTAGCAGATAAAAATAATTGTGTATTTTATCTTCAATGACTTGTTAGGCTCACTGAAATATAGCAGTTTCAAAGACTACTCTTACTACCCTACCCACTAACTATATAATCTTAGAGAAAATCTAACATTTCTTCTTTATCCCAGTTGTCTCACAAGTCAATACATTATTATCCACATGCCTTATATGGGGTTGACTTGAGTCCCAAATGAGATCATCTGAATCTACACTAATCTTTGGAACATTTTACACAGTGCTGCAGATGTGGCTGCTGTGTCACATTTGTGTTATTAGGTGGCAGAGAGAGGCTATGTCTACGCTCAGTGTTCTGCCCCATGAACATTTGAATGTTTAATAGTCTGACATTTGATGGTGCTCTCGTTTTACGGACTTGGCATGTTTTCCCTTCCTAGTATCTGGGAGAGAGGGTGGACCTAGTGAGTGCACTGATCTCCAAGGAAAGCCCTCCAGTTTGCACTGTCCTCATCCAGATTTAACCAGCCCTGACTCACTGCCAGGTGCCAGGGGAGGCTTCTGAGGACTTTCTAACCTTTGTGTTGGGCCCGCCACTAGGGGGTCTGAAAGGACAGTGGGAAGGTAGAGGGTGCCCTCAGCAAGAGGAGCCTTCATTCATGAATGTTAGAAACTACTGGCAGAAAAGATGAAGTCCATTACATGCTGGTTCATGCTACCCACCATGTCAGGATCATCCAGGAGGACAAAGAACGGGGAAAGTGTTTGCTGGTGTTTGATTCAGTTAATAGTATTAACAGTAGGCACTTCTACTGTGCTCTTGATTCTGTGTCAAGCTTTCTTGTTATTTATTTATTTTTGAGACACAGTCTCGCTCAGTGCCCAGGCTACAGTGCAGTTGCGCGATCTCAGCTCACTACAACCTCCACCTCCCAGGTTCAAGTGATTCTCCTGCCTCAGGCTCCTGAGTAGCTGGGACTATAGGGGCAAGTCACCACTACTGGCTCTAATTTTTGTATTTTTAGTAGAGGCGAGGTTTCACCATGTTGATCAGGCTGGTTTCGAACTGTTGACCTCAGGTGATCCTCCCACCTCGGCCTCCCAAAGTTCTGGGATTACAGGTGTGAGCCACCGTGCCCAGCCATTCTTGTTTTTCAACACAGGAAAGAAGTTGACATAACTTGTGATTGGCTTACAGTATGAGCACTGGCCAGAAATACGAGGTGGACCAGCCCCAGCCCAGATCAAGATGCAGAGGCCAGGATGTGGGCCTAGCCCTGTGCCAGGAGGCTGGTTGGAACAGAGGTGCAGATACAGGCTCCACCTGCTCTGGGACCACCAGTGGTACTCAAAGTATTTGCAGCCTCAAAGCCTGGCTTTCCACAAGTCTACCTGCTCCCAAGGCCATGCAGCTGCAGTTCCTGCTCTGCTTTCATTACATGGATGGGCAGGCTGGCATTGAGATGCCCACTGCCTCTGACCCTGGCCTCTCTACCTTGGTGGCACTGTGTGCTCCAGCTGGATGGGGTAGCTGCCGGGACCACCCCACCATTTTAGTATTCTGATTTTTAAGTTGTTCTGCCATTGTGGTATCCTGGTGAAAAAAAAAGTAACCTTCCAGCAATTTTTCAACTGCCTGGAACCTCAGATCCTAAACTGGTTTTTTACTGTATTTGAATTATCTTGTTTTTTTCCCCCTCAAGGGAAAAAGTCTATATGGAAAACATTTTTTTAAATACAAGATAAAGTGAATTAAAAGATATTTTTAATGCACATTTCCTCAAATATAATATGTTTGTGTTGGCAAAATTTGAGAAAAAAATTGATCTTGAATGGAAAAAAATATATATATAAATATCTGCAGTTAATGTGGCAAAAAAATTAGACAAAGCTGCATAGAGAGTATGTTCTCTACATGTTTCACAAAATCATTAAAAAGCATAGATCATAAAGTTATTTTATAGAAATAAAGTATTAATAATATTGTCAATACTTGGGAATTACAAAGAATCATCTCCAAGAATCTGGAAATAAGAAAATTAAAGATTGACCAAAGCAAGTTAAATTACGTTATCAAAACATAATATAATGTAAGACTATCACATACCAGCTTACAATTACAACCTGAAAAATGAGCATTTTGGTAAACACTAGCCAAATAATACATATTTTGTTTTGTCTCTAGTCTAGATACACCAAAGTAGGATTCTAGTTTTGATGTGGTCTCACCATGTGACTATAGGGGGAAATACACTGATCATGTGTTCTTCCAAATTCTCCAGTTCCTGGAACACCAACTGCATTCTGTTATCTGCCTCAGTCTTACGTGTTTTAAATTATTTGTGAAGGAATAGGTCTCTCACAGCCAATCACCCCTGAACATCAACAAAATCAAGTCTCTGGCCCTCAAAGATAAGTCAGATTCTAGACAATGCAACCTAAAGGAGAGTTATAGCCCTGACCAGTTCTAACTAGTCTTTCCTGAGATGCCACTAGTATAATTTTCTGTCTCAAAATTTCTACAAATTATCATACTAGAAAGAGACAGGAAGCCAAATAGCAAAAAAGGTCTTTTGTTCTTTGACTAAAGCAGAAAGAATCTTGGATATAAACATCAAGAGTTCGTTTTTCTAAAGAGTAGTGTTCTCATCTTTTCCATTCTTCACTTTTCATTTTATTTTTTGAGACAGAATCTTCTCTGTTACTCAGGTGGGAGTGCAGTGGTGCGATGTCAGCTCACCGAAAACTCCACCTTCCAGGTTCAAGCAATTCTCATGCCTTAGCCTCCCAAGAAGCTGGGATTACAGGCACATGCCACCACACCCAGCGAATTTTTGTATTTTTAGCAGAGACGGGGTTTTGTCACGTCAGCCAGGCTGGTCTCCAACTCCTGGCTTCAAGCAATCTGCCCACCTCAGCATCCCAAAGTATTGGGATTACAGGCGTGAACCACTGCATCCGGCCCAATCTTCACTTTCTAGAGCAATAGTTAAGAGATTAAACAATGCCTTATTTATTTATTTTTTAATTTAAAGGCTATCTAGAAACACTCGGAAATAAAGGTTAATATTACTTATTTGAGGTTTGCTAAGTATTTACAACAACAAATAATGTCTATCATCATACAGTTCATCAGCAAATCTCACTTGCATGACACATTTCTTTCAAGGTTTTGAGTACCATAAGGATTATTCTCTATTTAATACATGTAAATACACAAAGGTTTCAAGTTTTGGCTCATACCTGGAGAATTGGTTTCACTATCTGTATCCATAGCAACTTCTTCATAGTTATCATACTGATAAATGCCTCCTCCACTATCAGTAGGTTGCTTATCTAAGGATCGCCTCAGGTCAGGATCTGAAGACTAAGTATACAACACTTTTTTTTAGTTTCAAAGCATTTTCTGTCTTGGGTTACAAATCACAAAAGAACTGATAGTTATCTTCTAGGGAAGAGTATAAAAAATCATGGTGATTCAGTTAGATGTGCCTATCACATCTTTGGGAGATTCAATTTAAATGACAGCTACACTGGCTGACGTTTCATAACTGTATGAGATAGATAATGGAATTTCCAAAATACTAGCTATACAGATGAAATCCCCCACTGTTAGCTAAGCCACTAAATAATTAGCTCTTCTTGTAAAAATGACATCAAACTCTTGTACACTTATGACTTCTGTATGATTAAGAAACTAGAGGAATACAAGCAAGTTTTATGTCATCATGACTACATAGAGAACATTTCTCTAAAAATTCAAAAACATTTTAATTATGAATAAATTAATGATACCTGAAAACTACAAATTCTGGGTAAATGTGTTTACCTATTGTATGCTGTTTTCTTATCTACTTCTTACTATGTTTCACTCAGAGACAGTTTATAATAAACTAAAAACTCGCAAAACCTCTCGAGGAGGAAGTAAAGAATAATGTGCAAATAATACCATATTTATCTCTAGAAAAAGATTCTATTGGCCCGGTGCGGTGGCTCATGTGGTCAGGAGTTCGAGACCAGCCTGGCCAACATGGCGAAACCCGTCTCTACTTTTAAAATACAAAAAAATTAGCCAGGCGTGGTGGCAGGCGCCTGTAATCCCAGCTACTTGGGAGGCTGAGGCAGAAGAATCGCTTGAACCTGGGAGGCGGAGGTTGCAGTGAGCCGAGATCATGCCATTGCACTCCAGCCTAGGCAATAAGAGTAAGACTCCCTCTCAAAAAAAAAAAAAAAAAGTTCAAAGTACAAATATTTACAATATTCCTTGATTAAGCAACTCTAACTCCAATTAATGAATTTACTCTTTAATATCCCTCTATTCTTCATTAACACATTCTCAAGTGTACTCTTTTCGGGCTTTTTTTCTTCTTTTTGGGTGCAGAGGGTAAAAGAAGGGAGGGAAAGAGAAAAAGAGAAGACAACAAGTATATTCATATACATAGTAAATGTTCAACAAATGCTTGACCACTAAACACAAAATAGCCACATGCACTAAGGTTATTACTATATGATGATTTAACATTAAAATAGTCCATACTAGTCATGACACACTTGTCAATCTACATTACTAAACAATGAAAAACTAATGAAATTCTACCCCTGTACTTAAGAAACAGCCATTTTGTTTTCACAATTTAGTAATCCTACTTTCACCTAAATAGAAAATGGTAAAAAAGCTAAAAGTAGTCTCTGCTAATCATAAGTTTAGCCTTCATTTTGTCCTCTAATACCTACGATTACAAAAGATGCTTTCCCAATTATAACCTACCTTCCTTTCTTCCAAGAGTTATTTATAAAATAAGCTTTCTTATTTGACAGAATCTATGAAATAAGACTTTAAGGAAACTTAGAGTAACATTTTGATTTTATATTTTTGCATTTCTTACTTTACTTCTTGATCTCCTCTTGCCACCAACCAATTTCATGAATCGATTGTACTGTTCTTCCTGATTTGAGAGATCTCGAATTTTTCTGATTTCTTCCTCTCTTTTCCTTCTCTCTTCTTCTTCAGCTTGTTTCCGCTGATCCTCTTCTTTCTGTCTTTCCTGCTCTTTTTGTTGTTGTAGCTTCTTCCATGCCTTTGTTTGCTGCTTCCTCAATGCTTGTTTAGCTTTAAATAAAAAATACATAAACATTAGTATCTGTTAGGAGATAAAAGAAAAATAAGAGTCTTAAAAAATGTTTTCATTATCGATTCATCAATGATGATGCTCCTCTTAAGTTGTTTATATAAGACTGTCCTTCATTTTAGGGCCCTATAATTCCCCAAACTCAAACCTCTGAATTAAAATCCCAAAACTATACTGATACATGAATTCAGCTAGAAGAATTTAACAAGCAGTGGCTCACACCTATAACCCCAGCACTCTGGGAGGCCAAGGCAAGCGGATCACCTGAGGTCAGGAGTTTGAGACCAGCCTACCCAACATGGCGAAACCCCGTCTCTCTATCAAAACTACAAAAGATTAGCTGGGCGTGGTGGTGGGCGCCTGTAATCCCAGCTACTTGGGAGACTGAGGCAGGAGAATCGCCTGAACCCGGGAGGTGGAGGTGGAGGTGAGCAGAGATCACACCACTGCACTCCAGCCTGGGTGACAAGAGCAAAACTCTGTCTCAAAAAACAAAACAAAACAAAACAAAAACACAAGAATTTAATAAAAATGATCACCTGTAGTGCTAACTTTTTTGGCCGAATGTGTTTTTGCACTTGTTTTAACTTTTTGCTGTACAGTTTTCGTCTTAGTCAACTTTTCTTTGCTTTCTTTCATCACCTGCTGTTCTTTTTGTTGCCATTTTTTACTGGCTGACTGAAGGGCCAAAAGGCGAAGCTGTAATTCAGATAGTTCCTCTTCATCTTCACCAAGTTTCTTTAAAGCAAAAAGAAAGAGCTAAAATTTTTTAATTCTATTATTTAGCTTACACATTTTATCAAGTCAAATCCTCTATAAGATAAAAATTTAAAGTTTGAAGGCAAATATGACAAGGCAAATACAGATAAAATAAGTAAACTAATTTACTTCCCATAGCCTAAGACTCTAATGTAATTCCTAAAATACGAATAGAAGATCAGTCTGCAGAAGGTATGTGTATATATGTAACGTAGGGTTGGTGAGGCGGTACAACTGATAGAACAGGATAATGCAAAAAATAAAAGAGTTAGTAGCTAACATTTAAAAGGGCTTCCCAAACCTGAAAGAGTAAAAGTCTGATGGCAGCAAATGCAATGAAGAAATAAGACCCAGGAGAGGTAAGGAAAGAAGGAGGAAGTGGTTCCCTGATCACGTGATTTGCTGGCCTCACCAGTAACAGAGAACAACAGACATACACAAGATTCAAACGTACAAATTTTCTTTTATGTGTATATTTTTTAATTCTTTAAATTACTAGTGAAGGGAAAAATCTACAGAGATTTGCTTACAGCTGACATGTGTTCTAAGGCTACAGATATTTATCTGAATATTTTATATATTTTGAAAACATAAGACTTTTCTTCAGGAAAGCTAAAACAGGACAATAATGTTAAAAGCAGATGTCTGAGACTTTTTTCAAATTGAAATAACTTTTGCATTTCACTTTCGAAATATTCTCCACATGATAGCAAAAATAGAACTGAAAAATGGGAGGCTCCGAAGAGGCTCATAATTAGAGTCCATTGATTTTAATAAGGGGTGGGAGGATAGCTTTGTCTTCCCCACCCTTGAAGCTAAACACAAACTCTGTTTTTTCTTTATGTATGTGCATAGAATGGAAAGGAAGAGTCAAAAAAGATTCCAAAAGATGAAGGCCTACTTATCTAATAACTTTTTCTTATAGATAAATCATAATTATATTTTCTCCTAAAATCCAATTAAATTATTTCTATTGTTAAACATAAAGAAAACAGTGGATACTAACTAATGATTTCACCTGAATATGAACTACTATAAGCCCTAAACTACTGTCGTACACTTCAGTACTTCAATCTAACCAAACCAGAATACAGTTACCCTTTCCACTGTTGATAACTACATGTAAGCAATAATTTTTAAATTATCATGATTCTTTTTTAAGTTCTCAGTCACTTAACTGTATCAAATTCTATTGCCTAGTACTGAAATTCTAGAGCTGTGCTGTTCAATATGGCAGCAATGAGTCACATGTGGCTATTTGAATTTAAATTACCAAAACTTAATTTAAAAATTTGGACCTAAGCCACACTAATCACTTTTCAAGTTCTTCATAGCCACGTGTAGCTAACAGCTACCATACTGGAGAATACAGCTATAAAACATTTCCATTATTGTAGAAAATTCTATTAAACAGTACTCATGTAGAGAGTTTAACTAAAATAAAGCTATCCTCACTGTTCCACTGAGACAAAGTCTTTTTGTTTTCTTTTGTTTTAAATTATTTAATTTTTTTCAAGTTGGGATCTCACTATGTTGCCCAGGCTGGTCTCAAACTCCCGACCTAAAGTGATCAATCCACCTCAGCCTTCCAGAGTGCTGGGATTACAGGCATAAGCCACCACGCCCAGTGAGACTTTTGATTATTTTTTCCAACTACTCCCTTTGGCATGAAAGAAACCACTGATTCTGTCCCCCATCTATATGATACGTGAGGTAGCTACTTGAACAGCAAGAGCACAGAGCTAAGCTCGTTAGTTCCCATTAGTCAGACAAGCTCATTAAATTACTTTCTCTGACACTTAATTCCTATATAACTTTAGGCAAGTCACTTAATCTACTCACAGGACTCTTACTTCATCTATGAATGTACATAATGTCAACTTGATTCACAGGGTTATTGTGAGGGTATCAAAAATGTGTATGTGTACGTTATAGTATGATTTCTAAATTCAGGGCCATCTTTTTCCTAAAGCTCCTAGGCCATTTAAATCATTTCAATATATACAGAAAAACAAACTGAAATCTCAAAAGAAAAAAACTACAGATATTTATTTCAGATCTCTAATTCAACAAACTGAAAAGGCTTGGGTTATTGAGTGCCTGTTACGTGTCAAACATAGTGCTTGATGCTTCTGTATTTCATTATACTGAAGCCTCACAACAACCCAGATAACAGAAGACGTTAAGTTCATTTTGTAGAAAAGAATATAGAAGCAAGCAAAGGCTAAATAGTTTATACAAGGTCACTCAGCTAACAAGAAGTGGAAATAGAATTTGATACCAGGTGAAGGTCTACCTAACTCCAAAAGCTTACCACACAGGATAACCCACAAAAAATGGAGAAAATATCTGGATCAAAATTACAGGTTTCAAAAAAACAAATGATAAAAAAAGATCCTGTATGAAAATATATAACATTTAATTAAACATAATTTGCAGAACCCAGGGAAAAGAGACTCCAAGATGTCACTACAGAATTTCTTATCTTTAAGGCTTATGCCCAAATGGAGTTATAAGAATGATGAAAGAAAACGAGTGAAAGTAAGACAATTTCCCTTACAAAAGAACAAAATAAAGCAATGTGAAAATGGGTCATACAGAGATGATACAGTCTTACAAAGCAGCATCTTACCTTTTCAGACAGAATATCTGAGGTACTAATTCTTCTTGTTAAATTTTGTTCTTTATCTTGTAATCCTTTAAAATAAAATAATTTTTTTTGAATACTCCAAAAGATAGCCACAATCTAAAATAAAATAATCCTATATAATATCTGGTAATTATTTTAAAGATATCATTAAAGGGTCTCATTTTCTCAATCTCTCAACCAAAGGAAAACACCATTAAAGAGAACGAAAATCTGAACAAACTTCTTATCAGCCTCATTCCTGAAAGTTATAAGGCAAAATGATTCAAAATATTAAAATAAAACCACACTTTCAATAAAATGACTTCTGAATTACAAACAGTCATTTCAAATAAGAACAGAATTTATAAAGCATAGAAACAAGCAGCAACACTTAATTACCAACTGGATTATCCACACTGATAGAATATAATGATGACTAAATTAATCCAGTCCTCTAAACTGAAATAAATTCAATGTCTACATTTGTGCATTAGAGAATTGGTCTTTTATTTACCTAGAAAAGCATCGGTAGAGGCAGCTTAAGTATCAATAAAATTAAGTCCATCCATACATTTTTTTCTAAACATCTAGCCTTGGGCCCAGAAGACTGATGAAACAATGTACGAAACCTTATTTATATATTATGTAATCTACAACAGCTTTAAACATCACATAATAAAGTTACAGAATATCTACCATCCTGTTGAGATACTTTTGTAGCTAAAACAGATTATGTTAAAAATTCAGAAATCTTTCCTTAAGATGACAAAACTGAAGTTGCAAAGCTAGGATTAAATTAGATCTTAACTTCGAGCCTAGTGTTTTTACCATAACACCACACCTGTCAATGTTCCAAATATCCTAATTTTACTGCTCAAGTGAACCAAAGAATATGCAGCTTATTCAATAAATAGAGAAATGACTAATCAAGCACCTCAATCAATGTAAATAGAAGGCAATGACCAAATTTCAAGACAAATGAGTTCTGTCGAAAGGCTTAGTCTATAAATGTGATATTGTTGCAACATGATTGATACAGTAGAAAATAATTTGAGCAACCAGGTGCAGTGGCTCATGCCTGTAATCCCAGTGCTTTGGGTGGCCTAGGCAGGTGGATCACATGAGGTCAGGATTTCGAGACCAGCCCGGGCAACATGGCAAAATTCCGTCTCTGCTGAAAATACAAAAAATTAGCCAGGCATGGTGGTGCGTGCCTGTAGTTCCAGCTACTAGGGAGGCTGAGAGAGGAGAATCGCTTGGAGCTGAGAGGTGGAGGTTGCAGTGACCTGAGATTGTACCACTGCACTCCATCCTGGGCAACAGAGTAAGACTCTGTCTCAAAAAAAAAAAAAAGAAAAGAAAAAAGAAAAGAAAAGAATTTGAGCATAACACAAATTTATATGTGTGATTTGTCTCAGAGAAACACTAAGATTTCAGAAAACTGCACCCAAGTGATCTGAGCCATGTAGGAATACACAAACATACACTTCAAACATCTATCAAATACCCAAGTTCATTGTGTGTGTTATAAGCCACATCCATCCACATCTGGTACTATAATTTACTGTCTGATTTCAGGTAACACTCCTTGTTTTACTTCATAATAACTCATAAGTAGCAAACATTCCACTTCCACAGGTATACTTCAGGTCTATTTTATGGAATGCTGACACGTTTACTTTAATATTTCACGCTTTTTCCCCCCATTTCACATGCAAAGCTGTGCTATCATTTTTCATTTATTCCTATCTTTTATGTGCCATGGATAAAGTTTTTGAGTGTTGTTCCTCTAACCCCATTTTCTCCACACACCCTATTGTTTTTATTGCACAATTTTGCAGTGTGGTAATTTTGGGGAATGCGTATGTCCCATTGTAGGAAAAATGATCAAGCTTTTAAAAACAACAGAATAGTAATAACTATCAGACAAAAATAAACAGGGAAACATTAAACACTAAATTATTCTCCTACATGAGTTTCATTAGGTCATGAGAAATCTACTGGTCAATTAGGATCTCACTTGTCTATACAAAATGGCAGCACCTCCCTTTAATGTAGCATAGAGGCAAACATCTATTAACATAACAGGTACCTTACGACTACATTGCTACCTTAAAAATAAACACAATAGGCCGGGCACGGTGGCTCACGCCTGTAATCCCAGCACTTTGGGAGGACAAAGGCGGGTGGATGACGAGGTCAGGAGATGGAGACCATCCTGGCTAACACGGTGAAACCCTGTCTCTACTAAAAATACAAAAAACTTAGCCAGGCATGGTGGCGGGCACCTGTAGTCCCAGCTACTCAGGAGGCCAAGGCAGGAGACTGGTGTCCATCCCGGAGGGAGATGGAGCCTGCCGTGAGCCGAGATTGCGCCACTGCACTCCAGCCTGGGCAACAGAGCGAGTCCGTCTCAAAAACAAAACAAAAACAAAAACAAAATAATAAATACAATAAATTCAATAAATACAAATTCCAGACAATAAATATAACTTTATACAAAGATTATAAATGCAGGTTTAAACTGATCAAATGGGTAGCTAGACATTGTTCTACCACTGTCATAGGTCTGTACAATAAAATTATCTCAAGTTTTACTCAAAACCTCCAAAATGAACACTGTTCTTGTCACACAGAATTTAAAATATTACCCACTAAAAGTCTAATGTGAGCTAAAGTCACCAGCACACAGGTAGTAGTTAAAACCACAACGAGAATACCCCTAGAAAATGGGACACTGAGGACATGACAAATTAAGAAATTACATAGGAAAAGTAATTATTTAAAATGAACAAAAGACAGAAAAGGAAAATCAGAAAGTTATTTTTAAAATCCATTACAGAAATTCCAAAATTTCAAAGGAAGAAAAACATCACTGAATATAGCTGAGATATCTACCCCCAACAGAATATTCTCAACAATGCAGCCAGAGTGATGCCTTAAAAATATAAAACAGATTATGTCAGTCCTTTGCTCAAAACCCTGTAAGAGGTCACCATTTCACTAGGAATAAAAAAACAAAGTTCTTACAAGGCTCTGTCTATAAGATCTGCGCCCTCCTGCCATCTCCAACAGCTTCTCTCCCATTATTCATTCCCCTCACTCTCTCTTCTGTATTAGCACCGGACTCCTGGTTCTTCCCCAAACATGTAGGCATCCTTCAGTAATATGGTCATTTCTCTAGTTCAGCAATGCCCAAACTTCAGCATGTAGCAGAATCAACAGAAGGGCTGGTTAAATACAGATTGCTAGGCTCCATTTTCAGAGCTCCCAGTTCAACAGATCTAAGGTAGAAACTGAGAATTTGTGTTCTATCAAGTTCTCAGATAATGCAGTCCCCAGAAACCACACTTTGAAAATCACTGCTCTAGTTACTCCTTTTGTGTAGAAGCCTCTTCCACCAGATATCCATTTGGCTATTTCTTTACTGTCTTCAGTCTTTCTTTAAATCTCACCTTCAAATAGATACCTATGCTGACCACCCTATTAGTGCTGCAACCTGTATCCTCAATATCCCTTTCCGACTTACCCTGCTATACTTTTTCTCTTTCATAACAGTTAATTTACTCATCATGTTTACTGTTTTACCCTCTAAAATGCAAGCCCATGAAAACATAAGTGACTATTTTGCTCACCAATTTATTTCCAAGAGCGTTGAATAAAGTGCTCAACTAATTTTTCAATGAATGGAAGAATGAAATAAAAAACATCCACTAAAATTTGCAATTAGGTCACAGAAAACTACCATGAGTAGTTTCAGTATTGTGATGGGGGTAGAAAAGCAAACTGTATTGGGCTAATAAGGAAATGAGAAGTAAAGCGAAAAGCTGGTACAGACTAGACGTCTCAGAAGTCTTATTGAAAAGAGGAAGAATACTTGACATAATTTAAGACAGAATGTAGGATAAGGTGGAAGAGGATTCCATTTTTGGATGGAAAAGTCAAATATATTAAGAACACCCTAAGGAGACAATGGTTCAAGATAAAGCAGAATAAATAAAGCAAGGTCCCAGAGAAGGCAGAAGAAGTTAGAGCCAGGGGAACAAGTTAAAACAAAATGGCCATGAACAAGAGAATCATTACCCTCAGGATGAAAGAACTGAAGTGAAAATTGATACGGATTACAAACAAGTTTATGGTCAGGAAGTGAAAAGCTGGAATTGAGTGTGATTACCTCAAATAAGAGGCAAGCTTATATACTGACAATAATAAAGCTTGAGTAAAAGGCCTGAAAAAATTATGAAGGTATAGAAGAGTTATCAAGAGATATGGAAAAAAGGCTCACCAATAACATAAGTTTGACAGTAGACTCTTGGTGAGGATTGGTGGGGAAATATACATGTAGAAACAATTACATAATTTACTGATTCAGATGACATTTTAGCTTCTTTGATTTTCCTCCAATCACTCTTCCATACTGATGCCAGTTATTTTTCTAAAACACACATTTGATCACATCATCTTCTTGCTTAAAAACATTTAACAGCCCACCCAATGTTTAAAGAACAAAATTCAAATTATTTAGCAAAATATTAAACACCCCTCCCAATCCAACACTAACCCGTCCTTTTATAATTTTACGTCCAACCACTCACCAAAACAACACCATTATCTCTCACACTGCATACATATTTGATGAATCTCACTGCCCTTAAAAAGCCCTCTGTGCCTATCTGCTCATTTGGTTCCTTCTGACTTCCCCAGTGGAAAAGATTCATTTTTCCAGAAGTATATCAAACATTTACATCTCTATGAAACCTTTCTAAATCCAGGTGAGGATATTTAATCCTTCCTGTGTTACTCTAGGCTTTCACACATAACTCATATTATACTCCATGATAGTTATTTGTGTGTCTTTTCTATCCCTCTGTGTTATACTTTTCAAAACTACTTGTATAGAATCATAGTACTAAATTGAAGAGGGGAAAGAAAGGCATCTCCCTGAGAATGTGCAACCCAAAATAATCATCACTTAGGTTTACAACCAAATTCACACTATACGGGCAGCCAGTGAGGGTTGAACTGATTTCAAGCCTAAAGTCTTTAGCAAATTCTCTCTGGGGAATGCATCTTTGTCCCAGGTCTCAAAAACTTCCCACCACTAAAATTCAAAAGAAAATGATCATCTCACATTAAAACAAAACAAAACAAAACCACTAAATGTTCAAGAAAGAAAGTACCAAAAATGAGTAATAACAAAAACAAACATCAGAAATCAAACCCGCAAAGACCTGACATATTGAAAATTAGCAGGGATAGGAGATAAAACAAAACAGACCTATGGTTAATTTGTTTAAAGAAACAAAGATAAAGCTGAAATTATAAGCAGGGAGAAGAAAAGTGCAAAGAATGATTAAAGTGATTTGAAAACAAACAAAAATGAAATAAAAACTGTAATTGAAATTTAAAACTCAATAAGTGGGCTTAAAGCAAATCAGATACAGCTGAAGAGAGAATCAGTAAAATGAAAGATGTATCAGAGAAAATTTTCCAGAATTTGTCAATTACAAAGTGACAGAAACTTAGAGAAATTAGGAGACATGAAAGATAAAGTACGATGACTTAACATAACATACATCTATACAGAGTTCCAAAAAAGAGAGAGAATGTGATAATATTCTAAGAGATAACGATGATTTTTTCAGAACCAATGCAAGATCCAATCCAGATTCAAGAAACAACAAATTCCAAGCTGGATACAAAAAAAAGAAATCTACAATCAGCACATCACAGTTCAACTACAGAATATCAAAGACAAAAAGGATATTTAAAACAATCAAAGAAAAAAGATTATCTTCAAATTGGAAATCATTAAGACTGATAACTTTTGAAAATCAACAATGGAAATCAGAAAATATTGTTAGTAAGAACATAATTAGGGGCTGGGTGTGGTGGCTCATGCCTGTAATCCCAGCACTTTGGGAGGCCAAGGCAGGTGGATCACTTCAGGCCAGGAGTTTGAGACCAGACTGACCAACATGGCAAAATCCCATCTCCACTAAATACAAAAATTAGCCAGGTGCAATGGCAAGTGCCATAGTCCCAGCTACTCAGGAAAATGAGGCATAAGAATCACTAGAACCCAGGAGGCGGAGGTTGCAGTGAGCCAAGATAGTACCACTGCACTCCAGCCTGGATGACAGGGCAAGACTTTGTCTCAAAAACAAACCAACAAACAAACAAAAAGCATATAATTAAACAACCCAGAATTCTAAACCCAGGGAAAATATCTTTTAAAAAGAGTAAACAGAAATCGTTTTCCACCCAGCAAAAACACATTAAAAGCAAAAATGTCTAAAGGATGTATTTAAGCACTGAGCATGGTGGCTCACACCTGTAATCCCAGCATTTCAGGAGGCCAAGGCAGGAGGATCACTTGCGCCCAGAGTTTGAGACCAGCCTAGACAACATACTGAGACCCCGTCTCTACAGAAATTTTTAAAACATAGCCGGGCATGGCAGTACATGCCTGTGGTCCCAGCAACTCAGGAGGCTGAGGTGGGAGGATCACCCGAGCCCAGGAGGTCAAGGCTGCACTGAGTCATGATCACACCCCTGCACTCCAGCCTGGGCAACACAGTGAGACCTTATCTAAAACACACACACACACACACACACACACACACAAAGAGAATGTATTTATACATATATAATTCCAGACATAATACAAACAGTTAGCCAAGAAAGTGCTAAAAATATAGGCAAAACTAAGCAAACATCATTCTTTGTATTTCGGGGAAAGGGTAAGGTTCTTGATTAACTTTAAACACTGGCAGGAATATAAGACCAGAAATTTAGTATTTAACTTCCAAACTAGCAAATGAAAAAAAAAAAATTGCGTGAAGAAAAATAAGAGACTAAAAAGAGAGAAAAAAAAAAGAATAAAACCAAATGTTAATAATCATAAAAAATGTGAGTAGACTATGTTTAAGCTAAAGGACAAAGATTGTCATACTGAATTATAAATTAAAACCAGCTCTATACTATGTACAAGTAATATCTGAGACATGAGGATATAGAAAGACTGAAAGGGTGGGAAATTATATAAAGAGAAAGATGATGTGGCTATTAATATATAAGACAAAATAGTCTTTTAGGCAAAAACATCAGAGATAAAGTCACCACATAATGACTTAATTACCCAGCTTCAAAGTATTTAAAGTAAAAAGTAAAAATCACAAATCCATCATCATACTGGCAAATTTTAACAAACTTCTCTTAGTAGCTGATCAAGCGTATCAAAAAATAAAAAAGTGAACAATACAAAAAGTTCAAGTAATCTATAAATTTCTTTCAAACATACACAGAACTCTTACAAAAACTGATTACATACTAGACAATAAAGGAAGTCTTTAAGTATTTCAAAAGATTGGTTATCATAGCAATCTTACTTTCTGACAGTATGATCGACTTAGATATCAATAAAAAACACTGCTAGACAACCTACATGTTTCGAAGAAACACTTTCAAGTAGCCTACAAGTCAATGAAAAATAAAAATTAGAAAATATTTAGAACGAATGAAAAAAGTTAAACATCCCAACTTGATTGAGACAGAACTAAAGTCAAATTTGATGGCCTAAAATGATCTTAATAGGAGAGAGGCTGAAAAATCTCTGTACTTATTTCAGGGGAAATTAAAGAAGAGAGCAGAGAAAAAACCTATGTACTTATTTCAGGGGAAATTAAAGTTTAAGAACCTATATACTTATTTCAGAGGAAATTAAAGAAGAGAGTAGGGAAAAAAAGATACAACTTATAAATACTATAGATAAAAAAGTAAAGGATTCTTAAGAATAATTTTTATAACTTTTATAACTTAGAGGAAAGACACATTACAAAAAATATATAGTTTACATAAACTGCCTTAACAGAAATATAAAACACGAAAAGTCAGATTAAAACCTTCTCGGAAAAAAACTCCACCCAGGCCCAGACACTTAGCAGCAAGACCTACCAAGTATCTCAGAATGTTTCCAATCTTAAACTATTGCAGAGAATAAAGATGAAACCAGCCCCAACCAATTTGAGTATCACAACCTTACACTTAAAAACTGGCAAGGAAAAAGAGGGGGGAAAAAATCACAGGCTATGAACATAGCCTGTAAAATTCTAAACAAAACACTAGCAAACCTTCATCTGTAATTGCCGAAACTTGGAAAAACCCAAACATAATTGGGAAATGGATAAACTATAGTATGATGGGATACTCAACAAAAAAGAACTACTGACATATACAAGTATATGAATGAATTTCAAACACATTATGTTCAATGAAAGAAGTTATAATCAAAGGCAATATACTGTATGATTCCATTAATGTGACATTCTGGAAAAGGCAAAACTATAGGGACAGATCAGTGGTTACCAGGTGAACTAAGGGCTGAGGGAGGGGATAACTACAAAGACACCTGGAGAAACTGTTTGAGGTTGATGAAAGAATTCTGTATATTAATGGTGGCTGGTGATGGTTACACACTGTCTGCACTTGTCAAAACCTGAAGAACTACACACACATTTATAATGTTAAAAGGTAAATTTTACTGTATATAAATTATATCTTAAAAATAAAGAGGAAAAGAAAAAAGCCAAATCCATGATTTAAAAATGGTATATCATAAACTGTATTAAACGCAAGCATACAAGGGTGGTTTAATACTAGAAATAAATTATATAATTCATTACACTAACAAATTAGAATAAATTAGATGCTCATCTCAATAATGAAGAAAAAAGATTTTGTAAACTTCAACATCCATTCACACTGAAAATTTCAAACTAGGAATAGGAGTAAAACCCTCCTTTACCCCATAAGGGATACGTACAAAAAAATTAACATCATATTTAATGACAAATGTCAAAACCATTTTCTTTGGTTAGGAAACAAAGGTGTCCACTATTATCACTTATGTATAACAGTCTATTATAGAGGCCAGCATGTCAGGCAAAAAAAAATAAAGAAATAAAGACTAAAAGTAAACAAAATTAGTAATTATTCAATAATATGTCTACACAGAAAGTACAAAATTTACAGATAATTACAATCATTTAAATGAGCGTACAATCATTTAAATGAAGTACACTACCAAACAAGTAGTTACTCCTTTAGAGAAAGAACAGTCATTACTAACTGAAATATTTAATTCCATTACCTTGACTAGAATCAGTAGTGTCGGATTTCAGGGAAAGCGGTTTTGCTCCATCTTTAACTTTTTTCAAACGGTTCTTATCTCCTGGTAAAGTCAATTTTTGCCTGAGTGGTTTTAATTCAAATGCCTGAAAAGTTTTGACTTGTGTTTTCTCCTCAGGAGCTATTTCTTTACTTGAATCCTTTGTAATACTGACATTATCAGTGCTAGTTTGGTCCTCAAAGTTCAATGTTTTAGGATCTTCCTGCACATTCTCTTCTTTGCTACTCAATGCTAGTTTTTCATCCTTATTGATGCATTCTAGTTCCAATTGTATTTGCTTATACTTTAAAAGCAAATCTTCAAAAGTTTCTTCCACACAGTTTTCATTTTTTGATGAATAATTTTGTTTTCTTGATGGAGACCTTCCAAAACTTTTGGCTGAACAGCATATTAAGGAAACCAGTTTCCAAAAATTTTTCACAGTTAAATTTAACAAAAAAAAAAAAAAAAAAAAACAGATTATGGATGAATTTTTTCCCTTTTTAATTTTTCAAGAAAAATGAATCGATATTTTTAAATTACTACATTCCATTTAATGTATGTGCAGCTAATACCCACTTTCATTATGTGCCCATACTTGAATTTAATAAGTACCATATAAATAGTCCACTTACAAAATCACTAGTGTCATAATTACCAGTAGTATCCACAGATAGTCCACCTAGTTAGGTTATAGCATCCTTCCTTCTGTAAGTGCCAGGAAAGTCATAATTAGTTGTATGTTAAAGATTATTTTCTGAATGAAGAAGTGAGAAACTGAATGGTTTGTCACAGATGTGGATAATTTACACTTCAGGGGGCCGGGTGCAGTGGCTCACGCCTGTAATCCCAGCACTTTGGGAGGCCGAGGCAGGAGGATCACTTGAGGTCAGGAGTTCAAGACCAGCCTGGCCAACACAGTGAAACCCCATCTCTACTAAAAATATAAAAATTAGCCAGGCATGGTGGTGCAGGCCTGTAGTCCCAGCTACTTGAGAAGTTGAGGCAAGAGAATTGCTTGAACCCAGGAGGCGGAGGCTGCAGTGAGCCAAGATCCCACGGCTGCACTCCAGCCTGGGCAACAGAGGGAGACTCTGTCTCCAAAAAAAGAAAAAACACTTTAAAATAGTACTCAAAATATATCTATTTTTCCCCTACAGAGAAGGGACAATGTAATGAAAATAATCTGAAGCAACTGTTCTTATTTTCTTCTCTAACACAGTGATACACGAAAAGTAACTTCTTCCTTAGAAACAGCTACACAATTTCAAACTACAATTTTTATTCTAAACAATTCACACATGAGAATTGTTATACCTCATTTTTCCAGACCAGATATTAGCAAGAGAAAAGACAGCACCTCCTAGGGTTTTAATATACCATTTATAGATTTTTTTTTTTTTTTGAGACAGTCTTGCTCTGTCAGCCAGGCTAGAGTGCAGTGGCGCTATCCTGGTCACTGCAACCTCCGTCTCGCAGGCTCAAGTAATTCTCCTGCCTCAGCCTCCCAAGTAGCTTGGATTACAGGTGCATGCCACCATGCCCGGCTAATTTTTGTATTTTTAGTAGAGATGGAGTTTCACCATGTTGACCAGGTTGGTCTCGAACTCCTGACCTCAGGTGATCCGCCTGCCTTAGCCTCCCAAAGTGCCAGGATTACAGGCATAATCCACCATACCCAGCCTATAGATCATTTTCAGTTGGCTAGGATGTAACAATTCAGTACCCTAAATATGGTTCTTCTGTTTAAACTCCTCACAGGACAAGCAGCAGAAAAAGCTTTTAAACTCTCCTGATGATCAGTTCTAAAAATGAGAATTACCATCATTTGAGAAACAAAAATAAGCAGTAAGTACATCTGAAAATCTTAACAGTTCTACAGCAAAACTGTTCTAGTAAATCTCTGGTTTTCTGATCTCTTCAAAGTCAAGTTTCTTGGAAGAAAACTAGTTTCTCTGTACCCTTCTTACCAAATGGAATCTGGTTTCTGTCCCATTAATCTAGAGAGACTGCTGTGGCTAAGTTTCCTTATCAATGTTTTCAAACCTTATTTTTTTTTTTACCTGACCCCTATGAGAATCTGACACCATAAACCACTTCTCTCTTGGCTTCCATAACTCCCCGTTTCCCTTTGTTTCCCTATTTGTTTTTTGTCTTTTAAGTCTCCATTGAGTCCTTTCTAACTTGTGAAATAATGGTGCTCTTCAGAGAGCACTACTTAGCCTCTTTTTCTTATTTTGAGCATTCTAATGCACCTCCACCGTTCTACCTACAACAGGAGAGTTTACCCTGGTGAAAAGATATTTCTCTTATCTCCTATAAGCCATCCTTCATACTGTTGCTGCCAGAGTAATCTTTCTAGAATAAAAATATGATTACTCCCCTTGTTTAAATTTCACTAATAAAAAAGTCCAAAATCCTGAGAATAAATATAATCTGACCTGTGCTTTCCTTTCCAAACTTACTTCTTCCCCATTCATCACAATTTTTGCATAGCTTTGTGTCTAAGTTTGTCTGTTCTTCAACTTAACCCCAATTCGAGCGTCACCTCTATGAAGGCAGAGTTTCTCACTCCCCTTTCCCCTCTTATGCACTCTTTGTATGTAAGTTCTGTAACTATCTGCATTTATATCTTACTTTTCACTGGAGTCATTTAAAGGCACAACTACAGTTAAAAAAAAAAAAAAAAAGACTGAAGACCTTGGAAATATCTGCAAAGGGAAATGATTAAATATACTAACAAAAAAGCTAAATAGAAAAATAAGGAAAAGCAATTGAGTTACAACTCTAACTGACTAATCTCCTTTAAGGCTAAAGAAAATCTACCCCTATCTACACAGAATAGCTAAGATCAAACCAACACTTACCAGATTTAATTTTACGCTTGTCAAGATACAATTTCTAACTGAACCTTGGTTTAAACAAAAAGAAGTGCTATTCAACCTTTTCAGCTGCAGCTGAAAATGGAATGACTTTTTACTGATGAGAGATACTGGCCTAATTATGTTAGCTCTCATCAGATTTGAAAGTTTAAAAGAGCAGTCATTCAAGGGAGACAGGCTAAGATGTACTGACAAAGTGTCTATCATTAAGAAAAATTAAGGATGAAAATACGAACTGCAATTGAATCTAGTTTATTCTGTTTCTTTAAAGTTGCAACTAGCATATCTTAGTTATTACAGTGAAAGGAGTTATGACAAAAACAGAAATAAAAAAACCCTATACTCAGGCTACTTTACTTCTAAATTATAAAAATATGCCACAGAGTAACCTGCATTATTTCTTTATACAGTATTTACAAAATAAAAAAGGTATTATTATAATCACACAGTGGAAATATGAATTAAACTGAGTACAATCTTGATATTAAATAAATTTGAATAAAGTGTTGTAACAAATATTTTGTTTGCTCACATTATACAAAAGTAGCTGGGAACTACGTTTTCCTTCTCAAATTCTTAAAAAGAACACCACCTCTAGGATGAATCAGTGATACTTCATGAGGAAAACAATGAGCAGAGGATCAAAACAAGCATCCTTTTAAGTGCGGCATCTGTGAAAAGAAAAACAGTAAGATATCTTATTTATGACAAGTTACTACAGAAATCAAAAGTCACACAGACTGGATATTTTCCGGTACCTTTTTTTTTTTTTTTTTGCAACATCATATGTCAGTTTACTAATAAAAACATACAAGCTTACCAATTAATAAAGGTCTACGGTAGAGGCCCAAAATAGTATTGAATAAACACGCAGAAAGAGGACAAAAGCAGAAAGCCCACTCACCTCCCCCTTTTCTAACACAGAATAAAACTTTTAAGAAAAACTTTTGAGCTCCCATAGTACTTTTTATACACATACCTCAGTTTCAACTTTTTATACTAAACTACAACTACTTATTTTCATTTGTTTCCCTAATACAAACTACAGGTTTCATCTTTGTACCTTTACAAAACACATATAGACTGGTGGCTCTCGCCTATAAATCCCAGCACTTTGGGAGTCCGAGGAAGGAGGATCTCTTGAAGCTACAAGTTCAAGATCAGCCTGGGCAACATAGCAAGACCTCGTCTCTCCAAATTTTTAAAAATAAATTTAATAAAATTTTTTTTTAATTGAAAAAATTTTAAAATCATACACACACATATGCTCAAATAGCCTTTCTGGCTTTGGATTGAAAACAGACTACAAATCCATGGATTAAGAAACACCGTGGACAGAGGTTTTCTAACCTTCTTGGAAGAACCACGAGCTGCCTTTTAAAAAGTTAAATATCTATATAATTTTCTTTTCTTTTCTTTTTTTGAAACGGAGTCTCACTTTACCGCGCAGGATGGAGTGCAGAGGTGCAATTTCTGCTCACTAAAACTCCGCCTCCCGAGCTCAAGCGATTCTCCTGCCTCAGCCTCCCGGGTAGCTGGATACACAGGCGCCCAATGCCACGCTGGCTAACTTTTTTATTTTTAGTAGAGACAAGGTTTCACCATGTTGGCCAGGCTGGTCTCGAATTCCTGATCTCAAGTGATCCGCCGCCTCGGTCTCCCAAAATGTTGGGATTACAGGCGTGAGCCAGCACGCCCAGCGCCTACATGATTTTCTCTGAAACAATCCTAAAATGTTCCTAACCCAACTTTTTGTTGCAGAAGTAAGGTTTTTCAGGGGACTAGCATCAGAAGCTGCTGTTTCTTACCTAAATGTACATTCCTTGCCCCTTTTACATCATGACATTTGAGAAAGACCTATTCTAGACCTAAGTGTTCTATAAAAGTAATTCTGATTGTCTTCCAAATAACTGTCATTACTTTTAAGTTTCATATATAATGACGAAATTAAAAATCACACTATGGGAATTACAACCAGTAATGAAAGTCTTTAAACTTTTGCAGTGGTCACAGTGTAAGTCAAGATAGTGTTTTACAAACCCATTATAAAACAGGAAATCTTCGGATGACTGATTCCTCTGTATAAATCCTGAGTAAACTCAGTAATGTTTAAAACTGAGAATAAGGTTAGAAGTAGCAAACATCTGGTATGTTACTATTTCCTTTCTCAAAGTATCCGTAATCTCCACCCTTGCATACACATTCCTCCACTCTAACGTATTAAAATAAAAATGCTGATAAGTTTATCTTTCTCTTTCTGGCCCTCATTTAGTCAGCACGAAGAGTTACACAATGAGCAAAAGTGAACACAGATACAAACGTAAAGGAGGTAAAGCGTTCCAAAAAGATCAAAAGAATCAAAAAGCTCTGAAACAGACTTGTCGCGTTCCAAAAAGATCAAATGAATCAAAAAGCTCTGAAACAGACTTGTTAAAGACACCAGAGTGTTTTTAACCTCCCCCCGCCCCCCGCCCCCCGCAATTTAAAAGGCAGCAACCGGATTAAATCAAGATAAAAACAGAATCACAAAAATAGTGCAGGACTGCGCAGACTGAAACTTTTACAATTTTCAATGTCAAACCGCAATATGATAAAGCAACAGTATTCCCCAAACTGGTTATGAATATTTTTTTCTCTAACAATATGTCAACTTCACATAAAATACAAAGTTTCTGTCCCAGCAAAAATACAAATGCTAATGAAACTTGGGCTTCTAAGGTATTATTACAAATCAGACTTAACTGTCTTAGGTTTCATTAGCTTAACCCAGTCCATAGCACGTTAATACATCCAATGAAGCAGTCTTAAGAATAACGCTATAGTGTGACACACGGGTAATTACCAAAGAACAACTTACTTTAAGTATACTGACACAGGAAGAAATCAGCGGTTCTGATGATTCAAAGTTACACTCGTCTCACAGACCTAGTAATGACGCTAAAGGGAACTTTGGTAAGTGACACACCCAGCGCCGACCGCCACGTTAAGGATACAGCTCTTCCGAGGTGGAGAGGGCTCTCGCCAGCTCTGACTGCTGCTGAACCCGGATCCTGCTCCTCCTCCCAGAGGGGGTCTGCACCCCGGCTTGCCTCCTCGCTCACCCACTCCTCGCCCCCGACTCCAGCGACTCCCACCCCGGTAAGGCCTGCCTCGAAAGCGGAAACGGTCCAAGGCGAGGTGGCTCCGCTCCCAGAAAGACGGCCGGGGACTGCTTTCGGACAGTGAACTCGAAGGCATCCGTACAGAGGGCGGATGAGACCGGAATGGTTCTTTGGGTCGGTAGCTGCTGGGTCCCCTGAGGTGGCCCCGCTCAGACGCGTGCCGCGAGCGTGAGAAATTCCTCAGCTGCTGCTGAGAAGAGGACGATGACGAGGAAGAGCCACCGCCTCCGCCGGATCCACCGCCCCGGGCCGAGTGAGGAGGCCTTCGCCGCGGATAGGGTAACAGCCCACCGCCACTGCTGCTGCTGCTGCTCCGGCTCCGTATCTGGCTGTTATTATCGTCGTCACTGATCTCCCCATCTTCAAGCTCCCCTTCTTCCTTCGGCGAGAGGCCACTGGAGGCCGGGGCCGGAGTATCTGCGGTCGCCATCCGGGGAGCAGCGCCTTCCACACCACCTTAGCTCTCCGTCCGGGGATCCGCCCGACAATTGCCTCGTTTCCGCCGGGTCGGTGCGGTCTTACCCTACTCGGACACCTAGCGGCCTCTGTTCCCCAACTTCCCCGCACCCCAGCTCTCTCTCGCCGGACCGTCGCAACCCAGTTCCTTTTCCTAGCGCCCCCTTGCTCCTCAGCGATCGGGGTTCTTCCGCCTCGCGAGAAAGGGACTCTGGTAGCGGCTGTACCCGAAACGTCACTTCCTGCGACACGCAGGAAACAAAGGCTCACAGTTCACGCGATAATAACACCACTCGATACTCACTAGGATTTGTAGTCTTTCTTCTTTTTTCGGGTTCAGTCTTCCGGTCTACGGGTCACACCCACTGCAGGATCTGGCCTGGTACAGCTGGGTGCATGCAGAAGTAGGTGGAGCTGCTCTTAGTTGCATCCTTGAGAGAGTTTTATTGTAAAACTCTTTTAATTTATGGTAATCGGAGGGGAAAACGCTTCCTTTTAATTGCTGTGAGGACCGCTGCCAAAGAAACGCAGTAGATCCCCTCCCTTTTGGGGGCGGGGAGAAAGAACGGGTTGTGTCCGCCATGTTGGTGAAGTCAAGCGAAGGCGACTAGAGCTCCAGGAGGGCCAGTTCTGTGGGCTCTAGTCCGCCATATTAATAAAGAGAAAGGGAAGGCTGACCCTCCCTCGCCTCCGCCCCCACATACACACCCCTTCTTCCCACTCCGCTCTCACGACTAAGCTCTCACGATTAAGGCACGCCTGCCTCGATTGTCCAGCCTCTGCCCGAAGGAAGCTTAGCAGCCAGCGCCTCAGTAGAGACTTAAGGGCGCTGAATGAGTGGGAAAGGGAAATGCCGACCAATTGCGCCGCGGCGGGCTGTGCCACTACCTACAACAAGCACATTAACATCAGCTTCCACAGGTAACCTGGGCAGGGAGTGGGGGTGACGGAAACTGGAGTTCCTATTCTGGCTATCGCTTGTGTGGAAGGAACAGGAGGATTCTCCTAATTCTAATAACTTTCCCAGCTGGTAGCAGGGAAGCATCATACGTCCTTTGTTTTTCTCAAATCTGCCCAATTTTTCCTTGCTTTCGGGGAAGCTTTACTCATTTTCTAAAAGAAATCCAAGTACTGTTTGGTGATTACCCCTTAGTAAAAAAGTAACAGGAGGATATCGTAATTTTCTACTCTTTTATTCCTCTGTTAGACCGGGTCTTGACATGAATGACGCCGTAAGGGAGAAAGAGATCTTCCCATTCAATCAGCAATCACCGTAAAAGCCTGCTGTGTTCCCGTTAAAATTAGGAAATTATCACTAGATGAATTGACTTGGGAGGCATTTAGATTTCTAATAGTCACATAGTAATTCTGCGGAGGAATTGAGTCATCTTTGATAGCCATGGAATTAAGCGATGTTAATTAAAGTGCAAAAGATAACCTTTCTGTTCTTACTAGAACAGAGTAATAAAAAGAACCTAGGTTTTCTTTTGTTTGCTGGAAGAAAAATCAAAATTCTTTAGTTCTGTCAAACCAGAACTCTTGAAAGCACTTTGAACAATGCTTGGAAAATAACAGGTACTCTGTAAATGTTTACCTTCTCTGCAAGTGCCTGCCACGTGCCTCAAGAAAAGACACATTAAAAAGTTAAGTGACACCGGTCCTGATTTTATATATTTTATATACCTAACAACGTATGTGATGTTAGTATGTAGAAATTATATCCTTGACCTTTTTCCCTACCTCACTATTACGAACTGTACTTTTATTAAAAGCTGCCACTTAAAAAAAATCTTGTGATGTTTCTGTTTTTAAACTAGTTCATGCATATGTAGTGCTTTGTTCATTCATCCATCAAGTATGTACGGAGTTCCTAATTACCTGACATTGTGCTAAGGATCCAGAAAGTTCTAATCCTCCTGGAGTTTAAAATTTAGTGGTGGAGAAAGACATAAATCATTATAATTCAGTGCCACAGAAGAAACATTCAGAGACCTGACTTAGTCTTGGAAAGTCAAAGAACACTTCTTAAAGGATGTGATATTTCAAATGAGACCAAAAGATGACAGATTTGGTCCTGTATGCTACTTAAGTATTTTGTTTTATCCTAAGAGTACTTAAGAAGCCACGGAGGGTTTAAAAAAAGAATGGCACGATTAGATTTGCATATTAAAAAGTCCTCTGGTTGCATTGTAGAGAATCGTAGTGTTACTGAAAGTGCTGGTCAAGCATCATCGGGAATGAACTTGATGAGAAAGGAACTTATTACAGAATATTAATGTACCTATTTTTTCATTCACAGGGAAATCTTGTTACAATGTCAACTAAACTAAACCCTGTACTCAGTTGCTGGCACAATCAGCATTGGATTAGGGAAGGTGTGAGCTGACAGAGAAAAACTAGTTAGGAAGCTGTAGTAAATAAAACAAGGAAAGTCCACCCAATTTTCTAGACTAGGGTGATACTAGAGTAGAATTGGAGAGGAGGGGACAGATTTGAGAAATGTTCTAGGAGAAACTACTGAATTTAGTAATTTGGATAGATGAGAGAGGCTAGTCCAGACACCAATAACAATGTTTAACCCAGTGTGTTGGCTCACACCTGTAATCCCAGCACTTCGGGAGGCCAGGGTGGGCTGATCACTTGAGCCCAGGAGTTTGAGACTAGCCTAGAAAACATGGTGAAACTTCGTCTTTACAAAAAAATACAAAAAATTAGCTGGCCGTGGTGACGCGTGCCTGTAGTCCCAGCTACTTGGGAGGCTGAGGTGGGAGGACTGCCTGAACTGGGAAAGTTGAGGCTGCACTGAGCTGTGATTGTGCCACTGTACTCCAGCCTGGGCAATACAGTGAGACCCTGTATTGCCAGGGTCAAGAAAAAACAAAAAAAAGATGGATGGTGGTACAATAACATGCATAAAACTTGCCTACGAATTGAATATTTTCATGTGTAACCTCAGAAATGTAGGTCTTAAAATAGTATTCATTATAATAAAAATACATTCCTATTTCATAAATACAAACTAGGTTCAATTGATTCACTACTACTGGGACATGAGTAGAATTTTTTTTTTTTTTTTTTTTTTTTTTTTTTTGAGATAGAGTCTCATTCTGTCACCCAGGCTGGAGTACAGTGGTGCGATCTTGGCTCACTGCAACCTCCACCTTCTGGGTTCCAGCGATTCTCCTGCCTCAGCCTCCCAAATCGCTGGGACTACAGGTGCATGCCCACATGCCTGGCTAATTTTTATATTTTTTTTTAGAAGAGACTGGGTTTCACCATATTGGCCAGGCTGGTCTTGAACTCCTGACCTCGTGATCCACCTGTCTTGGCCTCCCAAAGTGCTGGGATTACAGGCATAAGCCACTGCGCCTGGCCATTAGTAGACTTCTGTATCTCCATGTGCAAGTTATTTTGCCTAAACTTACTGTTTCTATTTTTTTTACCTCTTAGCCAACTCTAGTCTTAAGTCTCCCCAGTAATCTGAAATTGCTCTTGCTAACATGACCTTTATGTCTCTCTACATTAATTTTTCATGGTGTGTGATCATTTCCTCCTTGAAATACTCTCTACTTTTAAATTAATTGACACTAATTTTATGATTATCTTCTTACTTTTTTGGCCTGTCTTCAATCTCCTTTGCTACTCTTCTCTCTACTCCTTAACCCAGGTCTTCACACTCATATCAAAATAATTTCAGCTGTTCTTGTGGTCTCAGCATCTACTTGTTGATGCCTCCCAAATCAGTATCTCCAGTCCATCTCTGTCTAATGAGTTCTAGACCTATAGGCAAGTGTCTACTCAGTATTTCTCTGGTCTTTTAGTTACCCAGATTTGTTATCTATATTGACAAACTGCCCTTCCCCAAACATACCCCCACTTCCTGTACTCTGTTTCTCAGTAAATGAAGACACTACCCATCTGGAAACTTGGAAGTCTTCCTCCCTTGACTTCTCACCATTACCCCTTGATTAGATTATTACAGTAGGCTTTTAACTGGCTCACTGTTTCCATCCATGCGCTCCTAGCCACTCTTCTATAATCAATAGTATGTTGCTAAATATTTAATAAATGGTTCTCTAGGGAGGGGAAAAAGCCCTGATTTGTAGTGTTTCCCCACCTTCTATGATGTAAATACTACTACCAAGTCTAGTTTCAAGCTATCAATATAACATCACTGATTATGGAGTTGGGAAGAGATGTGCAGTCTCACACTATTCTATAGTACTTCCACCATACAGATAAAACAGACAACCTTAAGAGTAAAGGTAACAGTAAAATCACTAGGAAATTTGGGAATTTTGGTATTCATTACCTTTTCATTTTAATTTATTTAATTGCAACTTTATATTAATTTAATTTTAATAATGGCTGTGTTTAACAACTGGCTCACAGATTTTCTGTTAACAATCAGCTCTCACAATTCAGCCTTTTAATGGCTTACCATTGCCATTTTGGATAAGGTGGACAAGGTTCAAAATTACTCTTTGACTTAGAAGGTCCTCCAGCGTTGTTTCATAACACTATTCTCTGTCCCCAAGATATTCTTAACACTCTACTGACCCACCCTAACTTTCCTAGCTGATTCCTATAATTTTTAAGGCCTCCTGACTAGACTAGCTCTTCCTGTTTTATGATTCCATACAACCTTGTACTTACCCTTTTATAAGACTCATGGACACTTGTAGTTACTTTTATTATAATAATAAATAGCATTTATTTAGTATTTAGCAGGTACTGTGCACTGGGCTAAGGATTTACTGACATTTTTTCATTTAATCCTTATGACCACACTAGGCGCCATTCTTATCACCACTTTATATATGATAAAAAGGAGACCTTAAAAGGTTAACTTGCCTAAAGTCACCCAGATATTATGCAGAGGAGCAAGGATTGGTGCCCTGGTTTGAGTCCAGAAACAGTGGCCACTGTTCCATTGCATCCAGCTAGTTGATTCCCTACCTTCCCCATTACAGTATACACTCATGGAAGAGAAGTACTATGTCTATTTTGTTTACTACTGTGTCTTCAGTGCCTAGGACAGTGCTTGGAATGTATGAGGCATTCAACTGATTATTGAAGATGCACACAAAATAGCACTGTTTAAACTACTGAGTGACTTTTCAAAACATCAAATATTTGTAAGAGCCTGGTTCTGTTACTGTATAGATAAGAATATATCCTTCTCTTACTGTAATATTAATTTCATCATATTTATGTGATGATTTATTATTAAATTAAGGTGAACCTAAATTTAGCTTATGGCTATATCTCCCACTCTTTGAATGTGCTGAGAAAAGTCCAAACAACACATCCAAAACATGATCAAGGTTAGTGCTGTACAAAAACATTACACCGAAATTAAATATAAAATCATTGATTATTCATATTGTTTCAGCACAGAAAAATCTAAAGACTAGTAGTGCCAAATTAACCCCATTAGTTCATTGATTCATTGATTCTGAAAATTTCATTGAGTGCTTAACAGGTACTATGCTAGATACTATGCTAAACTCAGGGACAAAGCAGTGAAAAACATAGCTCCTACCCTAGAGAAACTTACAGTCCAGTGGGAAAGATAGAAAAGTAACCAAAAAACTGTGATATCAGTGCTATAGCAACATCTAACCCAGTCCTCTGATCATAGAAAACCTCCTTAATAAGATAGGATTCCTTAACAGTCTTAAGTAGAATTTGGTCAAGTTAAGGTTTGATTCAAGGCATTGATTTCCTAATTAAGGAGCTAGTTTTAAAAAGAGCTTTAAAAGAAAGAGAATTAAGGACCTGAATAATATCTGAAAGACAGTCTTAGAGTGGAAGAGTCTTACACAAATAATAATACAATGATAGTACTTATTCATTGAGTCTTTATCGAGGCCCTGACAAGAAGAAATATGTTTAAAGCCTTATTTTTTGCTTAGTCTTTAGGAAATATTTCCAAACTGTCAAACACTGGGACAGAGATCTTTGAAATGAGACTAGATTGTTTTTAAGACGTGAGGCTAGGCAGAGTAAATAAGTTATCAGAAAATTATTCAGCCAAGCGCGGTGGCTCACGCCTGTAATCCTAGCACTTTGGGAGGCCAAGGCAGGTGGATCACCTGAGGTCAAGAGTTCGAGACCAGCCTAGCCAACGTGGGAAACACCGTCTCTACTAAAAATACAAAAAAAAAAAAAAATTAGCCAGGTGTGGTGGGCGCCTGTAATCCTAACTACTCAGGAGGCTGAGGCAGGAGAATCGCTTGAACCTGGGACGCAGAGGTGGCAGTGAGCTGAGATCCTGCCACTGCCCTCCAGCCTCGGCAACAAGAGTGAAACTCCATCTCAAAAAAAAAAAAAATCTCTATTTTCTTGTAAAGTAGAAAAAAATGCATATGTGAATTGTGGAGTGATATACAGATGTTAGTATCTTCAGATCAGGGTGCCTATAGGGTTGAGGGGGATGGAGACAGAAGATGGGAGAGTGTTGACTGTAAATCCAGACATTCATTTCTTTGTGCCCCTCATTGCTGGTAATGTTAGCAAACCTAGTATATGCGATATACCCAAAGCTGTTACCTAATGAGGCTGCATTTGGGGGCTGCTGAACCACATAATCTTCTAACTTGGATTTTGTGGTTCTTTTTAAGCACCAGTGATTTCAAAATTAATATCTAAAGGATAATGTAGTCAAACCAAAGAGTGTTACACAAGCTGACTACATGCGACTGTTGATTCTTATATTTCCAAGTTACCGGTATAATTTTTAGAGAGAGCCCCTTATATTTGTCTCTTCCTTAACAGGTACACACTGGATGCATATCAGTATATAGTTGACCCTTGAACAATACAGGGTTTAGGGGTGCAGAAGCTCCCTCACCACACAGTCGAAAATCAGAGTATGACTTTTGATTCCCCCCAAATTGAACTAATAGCCTTAAACAATAACACAAACAATCAACACATTTTTTATGTTACATGTGTTCTATACAGTATTCTTACAATAAAGTAAGCCAGAGAAAAGAAAATGTTATTAAGAAAATCCTGCCAGGCATGGTGACTCACCCCTGTAATCCCAACACTTTGGGAGCCCGAGGCAGGTGGGTCACCTGAGGTCAGGAGTTCGAGACCAGCCTGGCCAACATGGTGAAACCCCGTCTCTATTAAAAATACAAAAATTAGGCGGGCGTGGTGGCAGGTGCCTGTAATCTCAGCTACTCAGAAGGCTGAGGCAGGAGAATCACTTGAACCTGGGAGGTGGAGGTTGCAGTGAGCCGAGATGGCGCCATTGCACTCCAGCCTGGGCAACGAGAGCAAAACTCTGTCTCAAAAAAAAAAAAAATCTTAAGAGAAGATATATTTACTATTGATTACGTGGAAGTGGATCACTATAAAGGTATTCATCCTTGTTGCCTTCACATTGAGTAGGCTGAGGAGGAGGAGGAAGAGGGGGGTTGGTTTTGCTGCCTCAGGCATGGCAAAGGTGAAAGAGGTGGAAGGGGAGGCAGGAAAGGCAGGCACACTCGGTCTAACTTTATGGAAATATATCATAATTTCTGTCTTACTCTTTTTCATTTCTCTAAAAATGGTTCTATATCATACCGATCCTTCTTCCCTGTTTGCTTTAGTTTCAGTGACCCTGTTATAGAAGGGTCC